CTTCCTCTTTTTGTCCTTTCCTCCCCTCCCCCTGTTCTGGACGCTGTGAGTGGAACATAGATTATGTCAGACATTTATAAAACCCGGATTAACAAGGATCACCTTCACACACACACAAACGTACACACACACACACACACACACAAACAAACACACACACACACTCTCTTTCTCTCATCCTCACACTCTACCTCCCACATGCTCCATGACACTCACACATCCTCCTTGCCGGCTTCACACATAGAACATAAACACACACCCTGTCCCTGACCCTCACACACACTGAATCCCATATTGACCCTCACACATGCTCCATGACAGCATCTGCATCACACATTTCCACCCATCCTGACTGTCGCATACTGACACTCTTTCTCTCCCTCCCTCTCTCTCTCCTCTCTCTCTCTCTCCCTCTCTCTCTCTCTCTCTCTCTCTCTCTCTCTCTCTCTCTCTCTCTCTCTCTCTCTCTCTCTCTCTCTCTCTCTCTCTTTCTCTCCCTCCCTCTCTCTCTCCCTCTCGCTCTCTCTCTTTCTCTCATGCAGCCTGACTTAAACCATTTAACAGATTAACACATTTCTATAACCTTTCTTTAAAACATATTGATTCACGCATATATTCACACACATACTTTACCTTCTCTCACACATGCAATCACACAGCTACTACATTAAACAATGCAAGACTAACATTAGGGGGTATGTAGAGATACAGTAGGCTGACATTTGCATAACCTTTCCTTAAGACACAAACACATGCACATCACGACCACACATCACAACCACTCATCACAACCACTCCTGAGACTGAGCTACTTTTAGTAACAGTTTAACAATCAGACACTGACATTTAGGGCCGGCTCTAGCCTTTTGGGGGCCTTAAGCGAGATTTGGTTGTGGAGCCCCCCCACCAAGTTGGCCAAAAAAATGTGTGGCCCCCCCTCTTGACAGCGGAGAGAAAATATACGTTTTAACGTTAATTTCCTGCAATTCCACACATTTTGCCATGGGGCGGAGAGAACATTTTGCAATTTTATAACAGATTCCATGCAATTCTACTTAATATATACACATCAAAGGCTTGCATAATATCCAGCATCAGAGCATCAGAGAATGACATGATGGTGGGTTCCATATAATCTATCTCTCTCTCTGTCTCTCTATATTCTGTTCTCCATCTTGTTCAATCCCTCAATTTCTCTGACTCAGCAGTATGAATCGGAGACAAGGTCACCTGACTACTGTTGCTATGGAGACTGAGAATTTGGGGGATTTTCCCCCTCCACCTCCTCCCTCTACTGCAGGGCAACGAGAGAGAGGGAGGAGGGGGGGATGGAGAGAGTGGGGGGAATGAGAGACACGGAAGCAGGATGGCAGAGGTTAAAGAAGGATACTGCTGTTGGCCATTTTGTTTGAAAGGAGCTTGAATAACTTTATTAGTAGCGTACATGCGATGACACAGTGCTATATTGCTGTATGGAATTGTAATGCACTGTACATCTCTTACCATCCCTACATTACATTGCCTATGGAGGAAATGTGCTTTGATAGAGAAAGATATACAATTACTTTGATAATAATCATTATGATTTATTTTCATCATTTCAAACAGAGACAGTAATAGAGGTAATAAGGTAATAATAAACAATTTGAGACTGCATTGCTCTACACTGATATGTGGCCTATTTCATGTCATCTGTGTGCACCACTGCTCCCCCTGATTCAGAGGGGTTGGGTTAAATGTGGAAGACACATTTCAGTTGAACGTTTTCAGTTGTGCAACTGACTAGGTATCCCCTTTCCCTATCCCTCAATTGAGCCTAATTTGTGGAAATCAGGGGATATTTTATCTCCTCAAAAGCAGAGCTAGTCAATGCACTGAAAGCAGTATCACCACAAGGACATTCTGATACGACATAACAACAAAGGTTATTCCACTGGTAGTTACTCTGACATAGGGCCTATGTCATGTCAAGTGCGTCCCTCATCTAAAGATCAGTGTGAATGAATTGGGAAAACACCTTGTTAAGACGTATAATCTTCATTTAACCCTTGTCAAACCTTCTTATGTATGGTTATTTTTCTCTCTGGTCATCCTTTCGGCCATCTTGTGAGGGGCAGTGGAGACAGCAGTGCTGTGCATCTCCTTGGAAGGTGAACCATGACTCTGTGCTTTCCCTTGTTCAGCCGTGAGGCTGCGTGCAGCCAGTGTACTGCAGCATTCATTCTCCACTTAATACATTTAGGGGGGAAACAACACAGGGAAACTCCGTGACCAAGTCCTGCAATGGCAACTCACTTACTTCTACATGTAGGCCAGATGTCTCTTTCTCTCTGTCAGTTCCTCTCTGTCTCCTCCTTTCCCATGGCCTCACTCATTCACTCTCTCTCCATTTCTATCAACTTCATACTGCGTACTTCATAGTGCCACACCTCTGTCTGTCTGTTTGTCTCACTCTTTCTCTGAGAGAGAGAGAGAGAGAGAGAGAGAGAGAGAGAGAGAGAGAGAGAGAGAGAGAGAGAGAGAGAGAGAGAGAGAGAGAGAGAGAGAGAGAGAGAGAGAGAGAGAGAGAATGCTTTTTTACTTCAACAAGAAGAGGTAGATACATGGGTGTAGTCTGCCTGATAAGCAGACATACAACATCTGCAACAGACATGCAGATAGTGGCTTGCTTAACCCATTTGCAGTTGAACACCACTGATAATCTCTCACTCTAATTTTGACAGTTGTTAGTTTAGTTGTTTGTTTTGAACTCTTCTCGTCCACCTCTGTCATCTCACACACACATACCATACAGTAAATAGGCTATTTCCATGTTCCTTAAAGTGTGAGACATACACTCTCATATGGAGAGAATCTGCTTGTTTGTGCAATGGGTGTGAGACCAGTCATAGCCTATCCATGCTTACTGTCTGATTTCGGAATATTATTCTGGAATCTATTCTATTCTATGCTACCTGGCACAGCCAGAAGAGGGCTGGCCTGATTCCTCTCTAGGTTTCTTCCTAGGTTCCTGCCTTTCTAGGGAGTTTTTCCTAGCCACCGTGCTTCTACATCTGCATTGCTTGCTCTTTGGGGTTTTAGGCTGGGTTTCTGTATAAGCACTTTGTGACAATCTACTGATGTCATTTGATTGATTGATTGATTGATTGATTGATCTTCTAGTTTACTGTCCAATAAGAACCTTAATTATAGGACCTAGGTCTATTATATTCTATCAGTGTAGCCTATTCTCTCCATCCTCTGCTATGTAATTGCAGGCCTAGGGGAGGCATTGAAGTGCACAGTGACCAACACGACCAGAAAGACAGGGGTGATTATCACATGCAATACAGCACACAATAACATCAATTTATAAAACATAAATGAGTTACATGAATACAAGACAACCACGAGAATAGTATCTAACCTTGTACGTCTATTTACACAAAATTTCGGCCTATGGGCTCAGGATGCTGCTGGCTAACGGCCTAGGAATTCTGCAGTAAAGAAGGAGGGGCATAATAGGCCTTCTATTGGCCAGTATTACGTACTTGTGAAGATTGGCTAGATTGCCTGTCATCAAATAGTCGCTCAGAATTCCAATTGGCCAATTCGGTGGTCCGTAGGCGGGTTTACCAGGTCCATGGTTTATCAGCTTTGCTACAATGGGGCGCTGCGATCACTCACACCCACCGGCGCTTCTTCCATAGGCGGAGTGGTAGTGTGTAGAGAAGAGAGTACTGCGGCAGCCAACAGAACCGCGGAAGGAGATCAAATCCTAAAAAACCTGAGCAGTGCGGCTTCTTAGATTCACCGGTCTTTTACCGCAACTATCAGAGAGCAAGAGAAAGACCCGCATCCTCGCGTGATGCTCTGCTTGAGACCGCAACATTTCATTTGAAAGACGTTTAGGTGGAGGGGGAAAAGACTGTAACCTTTTGGAGGTTAGAGACACAATCAGTTTATTTAATCATTTAATCCATTTATTTTATAGAAATTTGCTTGACTGACGTCTTTGTCAGTTCCTTTCATTTTTACCTGAATAACTGAATACAAATATTTCTTACGTTCTTAAAAGGCAATACCATTTTGATATAATTCCACCTGAGGGGCTGACACCTCTCAAGCTTTGCATCACCTGAGGAGAGAAGCCTGACTGCGCCAACATGGGGGTAAGCCCGGCGTCTACCAACTTTATAACTGCCTTATGATGCATGAAAGTTATCAAATGCCCTGAAAACTGTTTAAAACCCCAGATGCTGACGGGGAAGGGCACCATACTGCAGTGTCATGTTTTTTCTCCTCTGGAAATATTGGAGTGACATTGACTCCAATGCGGATTTTGTTAGGCTATATAGCCTACCGTCTCATAGACTGCGACAAATTGATGTGACGAGAAGGCTAGAGCAGGCACAAAACAGCTCTCTGTAATTTCTACTGCATTTGTAATGTTTCGACTTGACACTTTGCTGCTGTTTCTTTTGTTTCTCATAAAATATGAAACGAACAAGTTAGTGATAAAATATGACTGAATCGTCTCATTCAGAGGTTTGCCATATGCATTAATATAGGCTATTGGCTATATTAGGCGTGTCGTGACACTTTGTCTATAACCATGCCATTTTAAGCGGTTTATTCTGACAGCCGGCTCTCGTGAGAGAGAGAGAGAGCGAGAGAGAGACCACTGCGTATAGGCTTCACTTGGCATGTCAGTGAGGGATTTCAATGAGACACAATGTTCTGTTATTCACCTGCCGTTATTATTAGCCTGTATTTGATGATTTTAGAATATGTGGCTGTGTATTCGAATGGGTGCATGATTACAGAATCCCCTTCCCCCTATTGCCCATGTAAATTATCCTCGCACCATCGCGACCCAATTGTCTACTGCTTTAAATCTGCGATGGTGCATGTAACTACTTCTTCGCAGCATTTGATGATAGACAGCTAGTGTGACATAGGAAAACCTACCCTAGTCTACCCGGCTACTGAGGATATTGCGTATATCTGTTTGCTATGCGATGCCTGAGCGTGCTGCAGCCTCGGTGACCAATGCGTCATAATGCGGTTACTAGGAATAAGCGGTTCACCAGTTTATTTCCCCTTTAATTTGTGACAACAGGGACTCGATAATCGTTGACAGTGAACACACAAGATAGATTAAAAAGATGTCCTATGAATGCTGGGTGATGATACATTTGGGACTGGATTTGTAAGTGAATAGAATGCACACGAAGTTCTGACTCCCTCACTGCGTCAAATGGGGGATGCAGCCCGGCGCTGGCTGATATTTTGGAACACATCACGTCTCAATAACAATGTCGATTGAAATAACACAATCAGATTAATATCTAACATTAGACTCAATATGTTCACTGTATTGTAAAGCCAATAATAATTTGACTGTGACCAGTTCTGTAGGAACCTTTTTAGGTGATGCTGCGACTGTCCGTGTGGGCTGTTGCGCAATTTCTGCTTCATCATTTATCTTGCGGTATGTGAGAGTTTAAGATTTAATCCCCGACTCGGTTCTGCGGGTTTGAAATAATTTGATGACATAATGCCACAAAATCCCAGTGGCTGATGAAGCTGGATCGCCCACAGTTACCGAACGTTATTGAAAATACACGGACAGAGCAGGCACAAATGACATCATCATCTCCATCTATGACCTGGGTGGGCCTTGGAGGCATTTCTCCCGGTCGAAGTCTGCTGTGGAGTGGCGAGAAATGAAGCCGTCGTTGGTGATAGGCTATTCATGAGGATGCGAGAATCATCCGTAGCAACAGGCACTGCGTCAAATGGGATGGAGTGCAAAAAGTGCTTACACACGAACCACTTCCGTGGCAAAGTTAGATCAGCCAGTGTAGCCTATGTGTGAATGAGACGGGGGTTCGTCATCCGGCGCGCATATAAAAGACGTGTATGACCTCTGATGATAATTACATTTTCATATAATTGGAAGGCATATGTCCTTTACCTTAACCCATCTCACCCCTATCATTCTTTGACAACATACAACACATTCTGCGAAGTCGCTTGACGCGCTGTGCCATGGCACTGCCAATTGTCCATCCCCAAGGCCGCGGGGGCTGCCACGTTAAAATGGGGGCGGTGCCTGTTGAGTGGAAATTCCCTTTAAAGAGCTGTGATTGGCGGAATCGGGGATTCACGCAGAAAGGGACGCTTTAGCAAGGGATGTAAGGAAGCAAGGCGAAGTGTCATGGGCACTGAAGACAGACAGCCTATTTAATTTGACACATCAATTGTGAGCTATTGAGGTTGCTGATGTGACAAATGTGTGTATAGTTGCTCTGGTAAGGTCAGTGATGGGGTAACCTAATGATGCAGAGAGAGAGAGGGGGGAAGGGAGAGAGAGAGAGAAAGAGAGAGAGAACTGGGGGAGGAGAGGACAGCAAGTGAAGATGGCTGTACACGTTTCACCTTCAGACACGTGAGCGAGGTGAGAAAAGGAGGGGGAGGACAGAGGTAGGGAGGGAAGGTGGATACAGGGCGAAGGAGGGAGGGGGATGAGATGAGTTGTGACTGATCTGCAGGTGTAGAGAGAGAGAGAGTGGGGGAGGACTGAATCCTGTTGCGGGATAATGACCTGAGCTCACATTACCATGGCTCCTGTTTCCCCTGCTTGCCTCTGTTCTTGGGGATTGGTTAGCACAGAGACAGGAGGCAGATGGGATGACAGGACAGGGGGGAGGGATAGATATTCCTCCCTATGGGATACATTGAGAGGTGATGGGGGATATCAGAGAGTGCTCACTGGACAGGGACTGAGGAGCATGGGGTTAGCTCTCCCTGATATCCCCCATCACCTCTCTCATTGAAGGGAAGAAAGGGAAGGGATATACAGAATAAATGAAGGGCATATTGGTGTAGGTGGTGTGGGGATAAATCATTGCAGTTGGCACAGAGGTAGAGAGCTGTATGCTTGGCGATCTCCTTAGACTGGCCTGGTGTGTACAGGACGGGTATAGGAAAGGGGAAGGGTGTAGATATTTGGGTAAGGCTTGCTTGGTCATGATGGGACAAGGGACACTCTTAGAAAAAAAAGTTCCAAAAGGGTTCTTCGACTCTCCCCATAGGAGAACCCTTTTTGGTTCCATGTAGAACCCTTTTTGGTTTCAGGTAGAACTGTTTTGAGTTCCATGTATAACCCTCTGTGGAAAGGGTACTACATGGAACCCAAAAGGGTTCTACCTGGAACCAAAAGGGTTCAACCTGGAACCAAAAAGGATTCTTCAAAGGGTTCTCCTATGGGAACAGCCAAAGAACCCCTTTAGGTTCTAGATAGCACCTTTTTTTCTAAGAGTGTAGGTATAGCTGTGGCCCAGCCCAGTTTGGTGCAGAGTGCTAGCTCACTCCCCTCCTCACTGCATCTGCAGTCATCCATGTGCTGCTGCTGAGTCTGGAGGGTTTGCGCAGTGCACTGTATGTCGACCGAGCCATCCTGGGCATCCTACTGTCAATAATCAATATACTAGTGGGATATTCATGAGGGTTCTGTCCTTAAAGAGTCATTTGGAAGGACATGGTTTGAATGTTTGACCTACTTTAAGGGTAGGGTAATAAGGTAGGGTACTAGGGTATTATGTAAGTATTTGGGGATTTTTTTTTTAAATGTTGCATTATGGTTTATTTGAGTTTTGATGACTCCCTTACCCTTCAAAGCAGATTGGGTTCCTTACTAAGGTCATGAGTTCATCAAATAACATAAACATTTGATTGATTGTAATGCAAGATAGGGCAGCCTGGTTGGTTAACGTTGCTGCAATGTTCGGGAAATGTTAAGTGGGGGTTTGCAGAGTGAGAGACAGAGGAGAGTTGGGTTCCCTGCCAACACAGTCATTACTAATTCAGAGTATACTCCCAGCTTGTTTGTGTGTGTGTGTTTGTCTGCTCGCGCATGTTTTTTCCCCCCCCTTCATTATCAACTATGTAAATTGCGCTGGCAAAATATTTGTTTGAATTTGTCTCAGTTGAAAATATACAGAAATTCTTAAATGTATTTATTTTTCTAAATTCTGCCCAAATTACGTTTCCTTTCACAGACCGTGTCACAGGTAGCACAGTACTTCAGAGGCCAGAAGACTTTATAAGAGAAGACAGTACACAGAGCAGGAGTTGCTATGTATTCTCTGTCTCCTAAATCATCTGCATTAACACAGAATATCTTCAGGAAACCCCTCATAGGAGAACGAGAGAGAGAGTCTACCATTGTCCCTTCAAGGGCCACTAAACACTCAGATTTACGATACCATTCTAGACAACACTATTCTCACTGAGGAGCACACACACACACTCACATCCACGCACGTATACACCAGGGTTTCCGTTAGCCGGTAATAGCCGACTTTTGGCCGATTTTTAGCCTATTCATCGATGGAAATACCAGTGAATGTAAATGCCTTTGACCAGTCATGCTTACTAATCTATAGGTTCATTTGCATAATTTAGTGGAATGAAATTGCCGCGTGTGTATTTTCGTTAGTCGTTTATCTCACGCGCACAACGTACAAATATAGAGCCTATGAGCGGAAAATCTGTCAGACAGTGCGAAAGCTGCTGCTACAACTTCTCAAACAGCTCATTCATTGCTGCTGGAGTGAAACGTGCTTTTATAAGCCCAATCATTGCATAACAATTCTAAATGCGATCGCGTGTTAAAAACAGTTTTGATGGCCACGATTAAAAATAACTACTATTTTTATTTCTCAACTGGTAATTGAAGCGCACTTCCCATTCGCCATTCAAGTGCATATAGGCAACAGTATGCAGTCTTCAGCGCGTCACACTCCACTTTGCAATGAGCTGGAGGCAGTATGCATTTTGAAAACATATAATTAATAATAATAATTGATTGGATTTATTTAGCTATTTTCTACCAACTGAGGTACTCAAAGCGCTTTACATTGTAGGGGGAAACTCACCTCATCCACCACCATTGTGCAGCACCCACCTGGGTGATGCACAGCGACCATTTTGTGCCAGAACGCTCACCACACATCAACTATCAGATGGAGAGGTGAGGAGAGATATATGCCAATTATATATCACTCCTTCATAATATGAAGTGAAATGTTTGAAACCTAAACCATTTATTTCCTATTATGAGGCATGTCTTACCTTGCTTCAAAGTAAAATCCGACCATAAAAACGTGGAGGCAATTATTTTATAAAGACTTCCATATGCCATTGAAACCAGTAGCCTATTTCTCTCATGTTTTATTGGTTTTCAAATCAACTTTCTTTCACTGTCCACTAGCCAAAGGAACAATCCTAATCATGTTATCAACCCATGCTAGTTGTTGCATCTTTAGATCTCCCCTCTTTCTAAATTTCGAATTGATATTTTAATCTCTGTCACATGAAACCGCTTGCATGTGTAGTGCACTTTTGACAACAGTGCTTTCCTGACAACAGTGTTTTCCTGACAACAGTGTTTTCCGCTAATTGCATTATGGAACGAACATTCGAGCGTTCTAATTTGTTTCATCACCCTCATTGCTTTTAAACGTTTTTTTTTTATGTAGCCTAGTCCTACTGGTTGTATGAATTTGGGATCTATTGTCACCCCAAAATTGTCTCTTTGGAATAGGCAATTTTTTTCATGCACAGAACGACAAGCTGGCCAATAGAATAGGTTAACTTTCTACTATGGGGGATATTAGATTGACATAGGCTAGTGATTTTGCTGTTTGTTACTCGTCTTGTTGGCTGAGGAAAAGTAAATGTGGCAGTTATTCAAACATCTTCAAAGTGCGCATCGGAATTCGATAAGGACGCATGCATTTGCATCCTCGAGTTGCATGTTCTGTTAAAATGAATAATCGTAATCTAAATGTGATTTCTTTCATTCTGAGCACCGTGAGTGGATGCCCTAATCAGGGATGCACCCAATGTCTGTTAAATTTCTCAAATGTCCGTTAAATAAAAATGCTGCCGGTTAAATGTCCGGCGCCTCATTTTCCTAAAGGAAACCCTGACATACAATCACAATGGGCGAGTGGTATACACACTGAGAGACAAGGACACATGCAGACTCTAAACTGGAGCACAGCTGCCTGCCAGGATGAACAGATCAGGGGATGGACAGATGGGCATGGGGGAGGGATGAAGGGATGAGGGTAGGGGAGGACATGAGAGGGTAATGCCATAAGATGGGATTTTGTTTTGTTGTTTTTTAGAAGGGAACACAAACGATTTCTCAGCGAGAGCTAAATTAGGATACAGGACGTTTGGTGTGTGTGTGTTTCACATGCACATAGACACACATTGTGTAATTTCTTCTATAGGCAGAGGTCATGACCTCAGGGTCTGGCTGGAATTCCATACCTCTGAACATCATTTATTTATATTCAGTGTTGTATACTTAAGTAAAAATACTTTAAAGTACTACTTAAGTCGTTTTTTGGGATATCTGTACTTTACTATACTGAACAAAAATATAAACGCAACATGCAACAATTTCAAAGATTTCAAAGATTTTACTGAGTTACAGTTCATATAAGGAAATCAGTCAAATGAAATAAATTCATTAGGCCCTAATCTATGGATTTCACATGACTGGGCAGGGGCGCAGCCATGGGTGACAATCAGAATGAGTTTTTCCCCACAAAAGGGCTTTATTACAGACAGAAATACTCATCAGTTTCATCAGCTGTCCAGGTGGCTGGTCTCAGACGATCCCGCAGGTGAAGAAGCCGGATGTAGAGGTCCTAGGCTGGCATGGTTACACATTGTCTGCGGTTGTGAGGCCGTTTGGATGTACTGCCAAATTCTCTGAAACAACGTTGGAGGCGGCTTATGATAGAGAAATTAACATTACATTCTCTGGCAACAGCTCTGGTGGACATTCCTGCAGTCAGCATGTCAATTGTACACTCCCTCAAAACTTGAGACATCTGTGGCATTGTGTTGTGTGACAAAACTGCACATTTTAGAGTGGCCTTTTATTGTCCACAGCACAAGGTGCACCTGTGTAATGATCATGCTGTTTAATCAGCTTCTTGATATGCCACAGCTGTCAGGTGGATGGATTATCTTGGCAAAGGAGAAATGCTCACTAACAGGGATATAAACAAATTTGTGCACAGAATTTGACAGAAATAAGGTTTTTGTGCATATGGAAAATCTCTGGGATATTTTATTTCAGCTCATGAAACATGGGACCAACACTTTACATGTTGCATTTATATTTTTGTTCAGTATATTTATATTTTTGACAACTTTTACTTTTACTTCACTAAAGAAAATCATGTACTTTTTACTCCATACATTTCCCTGACACCCAAAAGTACTCGTTACATTTTGAATGCTTAGCAGGACAGGAAAATGGTCCAATTCACGTGCTTATCAAGAGAACATCCCTGGTCATCCCTACTGCCTTTGATCTGGCAGACTCACTAAACACACATGCTTCATTTGTAAATTATGTCTGAGTCTTGGAGTGTGCCCCTGGTTTTCCGTATATATATATAAAATAAAATAAATGGCGCCATCTGATTTGATTAATATAGGGAATTTGAAATGATTTGTACTTACTTTTGATAGTTAGTATAGTATATTTGATAAATTACTAAGTATATTTGATCAATTACATTAACTTTTGATACTTAAGTATATTTAAATCCAAATACTTTTACTCAAAGGTATCTTTACTTTTACTCAAGTATGACAATTGGGTACTTTTCCACCACTGTTTATATATTTATTCAATTAAGAAAATTACCATTTGAGAAGAAGTTGTGACAAAAAGCAACACCAAATATTTTACAACCAAGATGTGTCTTGATATGAAACCATTTTTCTGAAGGTCTTAATGCACTGATTCCCCATTTGGTTATCACTCTTTAATATGGAGAAGAAACTCCCTATTGGAAGTTAGCTAGGGATAGTTACTGTATTTGGTAGAACAATAAAAGTAGGCTAATCAAGACAAGAGCAATCAGTCTAGCTAATCCTACTAGCATGAGCCCCCGGGCCCAGCCCCCTACCCAGCCCCCTACCCCCAGGCCATGCTTCCTGTGGCTACCTAGCCCTACCCCCAGGCCATGCTTCCTGTGGCTACCTAGCCCTATACCCCAGGGCTGCCGTGTTGGAACCAGATGTCCCTATCCCCACCAAGTCTCAAAAACGTTATATGTTGTCCCATATAATAATCTGTACTCTTAATTGTTTGTTCCAATTATTTTATTTTTTATTTTTATAATAACAATAATAATTTTGGCGATCCCACTACAGTTCCCCCGCGACACCACTAGGGGTTGCGACCCTGACTTTGAATACCACTGGCATAGACAAAAATGCAAATAAGCACAGGCAAGCACACGAGAGGAGGCTGGTGGTAGGAGCTATAGGAGGACGGACTCATTGTAATGGACTGAATGGAACGAATGGAACGGTATCAAACAAATCAAATGTATAAAAAACACATTTGACTCTGTGCCATTAATTCCAATCCAGCCATTACAATGAGCCCGTCCTCCTGTAGCTCCTCCCACCAGCCTCTTCTGACGCACCCCCACCCCCACACAGAAGCTTGCCACAGAGCACAGCAGAACGGTATCGACATTTAACTGTCATCATCACTACCCTCCGCCCCCAAACCTTCCCCCATTGACTTAGCTAGGATCCCTTCACAGCAGCCAATCAACTAGTAATGTCACATGGTTCATGGCTGGCCTGATAGGCTTACAAGAGATACTCCAACTATATTGGGAGGAGAGTGTTGTACAGCCATGGTTACAGATACTGTCACTTATAAAGTGTTGTTATTCACCACACACAGGCACAGTACGTGAGGGTTCGTCTCCAATGGCACCCTATTCCATACATAGTGCACTATCAAAAGTACTTCACTACATTGGGAAAAGTATGGGTCTAAAGTAGTGCACTACATAGGGAATAGGGTGTCATTTGGGAACCAGTCATGGTAATGAGGTTTAAATAACTTCTTTCAGGAAGTGTGTAGTATCGAGCCATCTATCTACCGTCTTTGTCAATGCAAGCGTTACACACAATCCAACTGTTTTCCTGCAATAGTTACTATTTCCCCTTAGTAGGTTCCCTAAAACGGAAAACCAAATGCCACAACCTCTTCACCCCTCTTGTGAAACCCCTCACATCTCGTGCCCTTGTGCGTAACAGTAGGAGAGGCTGGGGTGCCACGCCTCATGCCCACGCAGGTCCATCACCGTTAGGGGGCATGCCCAAGCCTGTGTGCCCTAGACAGACAGACTGACATGCTCCTGAGGGATGGTATTGGCTACTGGGGTTCACTAAAGGGTGGAAGTGTTCAACATATGAAGCATGCCCCATGTTCACTTCACTTCAGAACGAATGAGTCTGATTAATAACAGAGAAACCATTACATATAGGCCATTGTCTGTTTTAATATCTCTCCTAGTCTCCTATTTTTTCCCTTCTCTGTTACTATTATTTTCTGCTCCCCCCCCCCTCACTCTCTCGCTCTCTCGCTCTCTCTGTCTGCCGCAGTGCGTGTTCTCGCTCCGCAGACAGACTGTAGCCACCTCGGCTTATAGCTTCCGCATATAAGAAAGCATTTCTTTCTTTCTTATAAAGATACACGCACACATACGTGTTGGCTATTTCCTAGAATGTGTACAGATTCTAGTTACCAAGGCATCAGTTATTACTGAGTGATCAGATCACAGGATCCTACAGTACTAGAACACCGCCCACCACTAAGCCTCGGTCACCATGCCAACCTCCATGGTAATGTGACCTCCTAAAGAGGCGCTTAGCTCCGGCAAATGGGACAAAACCAGAACAGAACATTAGAATCAGACAAACCACAGCAGCATGACATCACTAGAACATGATGAACTCTTGCTAGTTTATTTTCAAACATAGTGTACACACACCAAATGATGTTCTACTATCCTCTGGTAGTTTAGGACACTAGTAGGTTTAGCAATCTACTCCAAAGTGAATTTGCCTGTCTTCCTTGTTCCAGACAGTCTGTTTTCTACTTGAAAAGATTAGAATGTGTGGAGGAGATACAGTAATATATACTGTAGTATCTGTCTGTTGTAAGTCACTGACTCCAGTTCCTCCAGTCTGTGTCTGTCAGTAGGTCCGTTCTTTGTCTGTCTGTGTGAGAGCTAGTGGGTGTAATTTCAGCCTGCAGTCTCTGTTTCTTCTCTGAAATAACATCATTGCGTGACATTTCCCCTCAACAACAGATGGTAGAAACAGACAGACAGGCAAGCAGCCAGACAGACAGACAGGACAAGATAATAGATAGAAAGAATAGAAATAGATAGATAGATAAAAATGATAGATAGAAGATGTAGAAGATGATAGAGATAGATAGATGGACAGGGTAGGTACGGTACGGTAGGTGGTAGGTGGTAGGTAGGTAGGTACGAGTCGGTGGTAGGTAGGTGGTAGGTAGGTGGTAGGTAGGTGGTAGTAGGTAGGTAGGTAGGTAGGTGGTGGTAGGTAGGTTAGGTGGTAGGTAGGTAGGTCGGTCGGTGGTAGGTGGTGGTAGGTCGTAGGTAGGTAGGTAGGTAGGTAGGTCGTAGGTAGGTAGGTGGTAGGTAGGTAGGTGGTAGGTCGGGTGGTGTAGGTAGGTAGGGGTGGTGTGAGTAGGTAGGTATGGTAGGTAGGTAGGTAGGTAGGTTCGGTAGGTAGGTAGGTCGTGTGGTACGATGATAGATGCATAGCATGATAGATTAGATGTAGATAGATAGATAGTGATGAAGTAGATAGATAGATGATAGTAGATAGATAGAGGACATACACCATGTTGTATTAAACAATGAGGAACAAAACCATGCTCTCTACATTTTTTGCCTTGTAACCTAGGCGATAGTCGTGACCTCATAACTGCAATCAAGAATTCTTGCCACACAGCTGGGGGGGTTGTGGGTAAAAGGAGAAGCTTGGGTTGGCCCATGCGTGTCATGAAAGATTGAGTGGCATTTTTCTGCAGGTGGGGTTGTTTGTTTTACAGTGTTATAAAACAATCTATTAGCGTGTGATCCCAGTCACGCTGTCACTCACTGATACACACAGCCTGACAAAGAATAGTGGTCAATATCTAATTAGTGGTGTGAGAGAAGAGCTCTTCTCTCCCTCTCACCTCCCACTGCTGTCTCTCTTTCCATCTGCCCCATCCCTGACTTTCTCTTTTTTCATCAATCTCTCTCTGTCCATCCCTCTCTTTCAGTACAAACCTCATTGTGTTTTAATGCCCGTCTCACCTGTCCCCGCTCTTCTAGTGTTTGTATTAGCACTAAATTGGTGTGTGTGTGTGTTTGTGTGTGTTTGTGTACGTGTGTGTGTTTGTGATGAGCAGGTGTGTTGTCAGACCTAACAATGTACTGTAAATACATTTCTATGGCCCACTAGCTAGAAACTCCACACCTGTGTGTGCCTAGCCCAGACCTGTTAGCTTATCTATAGCATCGCTTGCAACCGGAGTATTTAATTTGCATGTTGTATTGAGGTACACACGCACACATATACATGCACACACACACTCACATGCACACGCATACGTACGTACGTATGCACGCACACACACACACATACACAAATACGTATGTACGTACGTACGCATGCACACACGCACACAAACACACACACACACACACACACACACAGGCAGGCAAATCTCAAAGGGCATGAGCAGCAGTAGTTTTCCATCAGTCTCTCCTTTGTTCTGCGTTCGGTTCGCTAGGCCTGTCTGGTCTTGCTGCAGCGAGAGTTCACTCACATTCTCAGATAACGACATCCACATGCGCACGTGTGTGTGTGTTAAGGTGTGGGAAGGTTGATTTTGTACATGATTTTGTAGTCAAATTGTGTTTTGTTTGTGGGGAGTTGTGTTTGGTCGAATGTTTGAACCAATCTTTTCAGGGTTAGTTTGTGTTCAAGGGAGACTCTAGTGTGTCCCAGTATTACTTCTGTAAATCAGGGGCAGAGTGGAGACCTGCAGTGCTCACTATAAATCCTCCTCAAACCATTCTGACCACAATGAACCACTAAGTTTGGTCTCTTTTACAAGTGGAGGATTCTATGCATCTGACATTTCTCAACTGCACTTGTATTAAGCACTGGGACTTTCAGTGGCAAGTTTACTCACCCATTCATGGCATTATACTTAGTCAGTCAAGTGTGTTTATCAGGGTGTGGGAGCCTAGGTAACATGTGTTTAGCTTGGTATAGGCTATTTATTTGGCTTGTGATGGACAGGGCAACAAAAAAAATGTATTGAATGTGTATTTACCCTTTATTATTCAGAATAAATTAACAGGGAAGGGCCAATCATATCCAAAGAGGGCCAGTGTAGGTGCGGGCTTTTGTTCCAACCAAGCAGTAACACAGCTGAAACCCTGTCAAACCATGGTATGGTGTAGCTATACAGCAGTAGACCAAGTTGGTTAGAGCATGTCATCTTGCCAATAGCCACCAGCTTCCCTGTGTTTCCTTGAACACTACACCTTACAGTCACTTGATGATGATGCTAGAACAAACAAAAGTGACTATATCATCAGAATGGATGAGAAAGTGTGAGCTACATGTTCTTAATTAAGGGTGAGGGGTGTGGTAAGAGACAGACAGATTACATTTTGGATGTCTTTTGGACTCCTCTTCTGTGGTCCTTTAACCCTTCTGGTCCTTAATTACATCACTGCAGCAAGGTCAGTTTCCTTGATGAGTTGGCTGTGTCAATGAGCGGCTTTTCCACTAGGACCCATAGAACCTCCTGGAAGCCATTTTGTCTCTCTCTCTCTCATTCTGTCAACTGAGGGACTCTGGTCAGGGGCTTCTGTATTGATTTGATGTGAGCACCAGTTAGTGTAAATCGGAAATTGAGCTAATGCAACAATTTGAGCTCACTAGAAGAGACATTTGTCTGTCTGTGTGTGTGTGTGTGTGTCTGCAAAACTGTTTCATATTCAACACATCACAGTCACATTGATGTATCCAACCTAATTGAATTGATATGAACTTAATTAGAGAGGTTTTGAAGACTGAGATAATGCACTGTCTGCACTCTGTTTCTCTTTCATCGCCTCTGTGCCCCACCAGCTAGTGTGTGTGTTGTGTGTGTGTGTGTACCTGTGTGTGTGTGTGTGTGTGTGTGGAGAACATACAGTAGTCTCTGGTGACAGACAGTTAACACAAATGACAAATGGAGCAGGTGGCCAGTGGATACAAACTGTGATAGCGGGTTCCGAGATGAGACAAACACTGCAGTAAAGCCAGACGGTCGTTTGATCCTTCTGTCTGTGATCTCTGTGAAGTTCAAATGGGTATCAGAGAAAATAATGAAGTCCCTCTCCCCGTCTGTTGTGTCTGGTGCTTTAACCATGTTTCTATTGAAATAATAATGAAAGTATCCCCCCCTAATCCCTTCCCCCCTCTCTGACTGTCCCCCCCCCGCCCAGTATGGGCGGTCGGACAGTTACCGCGTTGCTACCACACAGGATAAAGATGGCAAATCTTCTCCCAGCAAGAAGAACAAGAAGGGGAAGGACATGGATGAACTCAAGAAAGAAGTACCGATTGTAAGTGACTGGCACACAGTGGCACACACACTGCCCTGCTCAAGGGGTGCGCTGGGCACCCCCATAACTATTATTGAAATACTAACATATGCCTCTCCATAAGTGTTAGAGTATGAATATTGGCCTGATCTAATAATGTGTAACTGGAACATACACTCTCTAAATAGTTTGGAGAAAGACCTGAAAGTGAATGATAATAATTATCCTAGTTTGTTTTAAATTAATTGTTATGATATTTATGGCATATTCTCAATTTTTCTCTGTTTCTCTCTCCCACACAAATACACATACATACACTCTATCTCTCTCTCTCTCGCTCTCGCTCTCTCTCTCTCGCTCTCTCTCGCGCTCTCTCTCTCTCTCTCTCTCTCTCTCTCTCTCTCTCTCTCTCTCTCTCTCTCCCTCCCTCCCTCCCTCTCTACCTTTCAGACGGAACACAAGATGTCCATAGAGGAATGTTGCAGGAAGTTCAACACCGACATTGTCCAGGTGAGTCCTCCTACTGTACTGTACCATAGAGATACTTGAGTCGTCGCCTATTCCTGCTGTAGCACTAGCAGAGCTGCTACTAGGCCACTAGATGGTGGTTATTTTACTATTTTACATTCACTCATGCCACACGGTTGGTGTTTTTGAGTGGATCAGTTTGAGCAACATTTTAATGCATTCTAATACTTCTCAAGCCCCTTATAAAGTCTTAATTATCATCTTATAATGATCCTTACTAAGTTCACAGCCTTTTTTGTTCTACGTAAAGACATAACACATTTTAAGCCTCATTATAATGTTTTAAAGACTCATACATGCTTATAAGTAGTCATAAAGCATTATACCTGCAGGCTTAAAGTTTTACCCATATAATTACATATTAGATGTAATAGGATTTTTGTGGTGTCACCCCTAATTTCAACACACTCAGTTCTAGGTTTAACCCACCCCACCCTCTCCCCACCCAGGGTCTGACCAACGCCAAGGCGGCTGAGTTTCTGATCAGGGACGGTCCCAATTGCCTCACCCCTCCCCCGACCACCCCCGAGTGGATCAAGTTCTGTCGCCAGCTATTCGGTGGCTTCTCCATCCTGCTGTGGACCGGCGCCATCCTCTGTTTCCTGGCCTACGCTATCCAGGCCGCCACTGAGGACGAGCCGGCAGGAGACAATGTGAGTCACACACAAGCACACCCACACACACATACATGCACCCAAACACGAAACGTAAACACAGCCACAGAATAAAGGACAGTTAGAGCCACACACAGCTGAATCACACATACAGTTGAAGTCGGAAGTTTACATACACCTTAGCCAAATACATTTAAACTTAGTTTTTCACAATTCCTGACATTTAATCCTAGTAAAAAAATCCCTGTCTTAGGTCAGTTAGGATCACCACTTTATTTTAAGAATGTGAAATATCAGAATAATAGTAGAGAGAATTATTTATTTAAGCTTTCAGTTCTTTCATCACATTCCCAGTGGGTCAGAAGTTTACATACGCTCAATTAGAATTTGGTAGCATTGCCTTTAAATTGTTTAACTTGGGTCAAACGTTTCGGGTAGCCTTCCACAAGCTTCCCACAATAAGTTGGGTGAATTTTGGCCCATTCCTCCTGACAGAGCTGGTGTAACTGGGTCAGGTTTGTAGGCCTCCTTGCTCGCACACGCTTTTTCAGTTCTGCCCACACATTTTCTATAGGATTGAGGTCAGGGCTTGTCAGAAGCTGATGTGGATGCGGTGTTGGAGTCAGGCGCAGGACACAGAAGCTTAGTCGAAAACGACTTTAATTGTCACAAAGACATATACAAAATAACGGGCCTCAAAACACAGGAGGCGAGCGATTACGCAGACAGTGCGTAAAACACTAACAACTAGAAAACAATAACATACACCAGCGGACAGGCGGACAACAACACACAACTGCAAACAAAACCAAAGGAAACTTATAGGTGACATAATCAATACATAATACGAAACAGGTGCACCAACAAGACAAAACCAAACAAACATAGAGAACATCAAGCGGTAGCAGCTAGTACTCCGGGGACGACGAACGCCGAAGCCTGCCCGAACAAGGAGGAGGAGCAGTCTCGGCGGAATTCGTGACAGGGCTTTGTGATGGCCACTCCAATACCTTGACTTTGTTGTCCTTAAGCCATTTTGCCACAACTTTGGAAGTATGCTTGGGGTCATTGTCAATTTGGAAGACCCATTTGCAACCAAGCTTTAACTTCTTGACTGATGTCTTGAGATGTTGCTTCAATATATCCACATCATTTTCCTTCCTCATGATGCCATCAATTTTGTGAAGTACACCAGTCCCTCCTGCAGCAAAGCACCCCCACAGCATGATGCTGCCACCCCCGTGCTTCACGGTTGGGATGGGGTTCTCCGGCTTGCAAGCACCACCGTTTTCCTCCAAACATAACGATGGTCATTATGGCCAAACAGTTCTATTTTTGTTTTATCAGACCAGAGGACATTTCTCCAAAAAGTACGATCTTTGTCCCCATGTGCAGTTGCAAACCGTAGTCTGGCTTTTTTATGGCGGTTTTGGAGCAGTGGCTTCTTCCTTGCTGAGTGGCCTTTTAGGTTATGTCGATATAGGACTTGTTTTACTGTGGATATAGATACTTTTGTACCTGTTTCCTCCAGCATCTTCCCAAGGTCCTTTGCTGTTGTTCTGGGATTGATTTGCACTTTTCACACCAAAGTACGTTCATCTCTAGGAGACAGAACGCGTCTCCTTCCTGAGCGGTATGACAGCTGCGTGGTCCCATGGTGTTTATACTTGCGTACTGTTGTTTGTACAGATGAACGTGGTACCTTCAGGTGTTTGGAAATTGCTCCCAAGGATGAACCAGACTTGTGGAGGTCTAACATTTCTTTCTGAGGTCTTGGCTGATTTCTTTTGATTTTCCCATGATGTCAAGAAAAGAGGCACTGAGTTTGAAGGTAGGCCTTGAAATACATCCACAGGTACACCTCCAATTGACTCAAATGATGTCAATTAGCCTATCAGAAGCTTCTAAAGCCATGACATCATTTTCTGTTTAAAGTCACAGTCAACTTAGTGTATGTAAACTTCTGACCCACTGGAATTGTGATACAGTGAATTATAAGTGAAATAATCTGTCTGTAAACAATTGTTGGAAAAATGACTTGTGTCATGCACAAAGTAGATGTCCTAACTGACTTGCTAAAACTATAGTTTGTTAACAAGACATTTGTGGAGTGGTTGAAAAAACGAGTTTTAATGACTCCAACCTAAGTGTATGTAAACTTCCGACTTCAACTGTACCTACATTTACCAAACCTCACACACACTGCCAGCAGTGCCAGTCCCTAACCTTAATTGTAAAATACACCCAAATGGCTAATGTACTTGGTCATTGCCACTTTTTTCTGTTTTTGCATGATCATCTAGCCTAGTGACTACTACCACGGTGGTCTGTGTTCAGTTTGAAGCTAAATACTCCTAATATGCATTGACCTGCAATGTACACAGTATAACAATGGGCTTTCCTTTCTCTCTCTCTCTCTCCTCAGTTGTACCTGGGTATCGTGCTCTCTGTTGTCGTCGTGGTCACCGGCTGTTTCTCCTACTTCCAGGAGGCCAAGAGCTCCAAAATCATGGAGTCCTTCAAGAACATGGTGCCCCAGGTAAACATGTGTGTGTGTGTGTGTGTGTGTGTGTGTGTGTGTGTGTGGGTATATATATATGAATGTGGTGTGGACAATCTAACCCTCCCTCTGTGTTCTCCCTGTAGCAAGCGCTGGTGATCCGTGAGGGCGAGAAGATGACAATCAACGCTGAGGAGGTGGTGGCTGGAGACCTGGTGGAGGTGAAGGGAGGAGACAGGATCCCCGCCGACCTCAGAGTCGTCTCTGCTCACGGCTGCAAGGTACCATACACACACAATCACACTCACACATAGTTCATATAACACACACTCACACAGCTACACATTTTATATATCAAATGTTCAACAAGTTTGCTGGGTTTTGTCCTTCTCTTATAGGTGGATAACTCCTCCCTGACTGGCGAATCAGAACCCCAGAGCAGGTCACCTGACTGTACCCATGACAACCCCCTGGAGACCCGCAACGTCGCTTTCTTCTCTACCAACTGCGTTGAAGGTAACCATAGAAACTGCTAACTCACAGACAGACAGACAGACACATCACCTGTTCTGTCCCTGACAATTCTCCTATCCTCTTCTCTCTATTCCTGCGTGTCAGACTCGACCTACCAAATTCAGTCAACAGGGTCCTACTGCAGTATTGGATGCTGCACCCCAGCAGCACTAAGGCTTGCTAGGCTTTTGACTGGTTCAACTAAGCTGATTCAAACGTAATATTATACCACAGAGCTGTTGTTGACACAGAAGTTCCCCACATACTAGCATAAAAGAGTTCCCACTTTACTTCTCTTCTCTCATGTCAACCTCTCTTTTACTGAATTAATATATGCCCTCTATTTCCCCCCTCTCTCTCTCCCTCTCTCTCTCTCTCTCTCAGGTACAGCGCGTGGCATCGTGGTGTGTACCGGCGACCGTACCGTCATGGGCCGTATCGCCACTCTCACCTCCGGTCTGGAGTCGGGCAAGACCCCCATCGCCAAAGAAATTGAGCACTTCATCCACCTGATCACAGGCGTGGCCGTGTTCCTGGGCATCACCTTCTTCATCCTGGCCGTCTGCCTGGGATACAGCTGGCTGGAGGCTGTCATCTTCCTCATTGGCATCATTGTGGCCAATGTCCCTGAGGGCCTGCTGGCTACTGTCACTGTGAGTGGCCCTGGCCCCCTCTCCGTCTGACCCTTCCTCTCTATTGCTGTTTGTCTCTGAATCCCATCTCTATTGAACCTCATACCTGACCTCTAGACTGTAGATTCTAGTGGTCCTCCTCAGTTTAGTTGGTAGAGCATGGCGTTTGTAACGCAAGGATACTGGGTTCGATTCCTGGGACCACTCGTACGTAGAATCTATCCACTCATGGCTGTAAGTCGCTTTGGATAAAAGTGTCTGCTAAATATCATATATTATATAAATGAGATTCATTCTAGATCAACTAGACTGTAGATCTAGACCAATTAGACCAACTAGACAGCTAACTACACAGTTAATATAGACCTACTAGACATCGAATGAGACTAGATCCAGACCAACTATAACTTCGACAGAAATACATTATATATCTCTAGACCAATTAGACAGCTGAAGCAAGCACACACATTTTCTCCAGAAAATGTAGTACCAGTACCCTCCTTCATTCTGGTTCCTGGATAACCCCCGTCTTTCCCCTGTCACTGTGCTGTAGGTCTGTCTGACTCTGACTGCCAAGCGTATGGCTAAGAAGAACTGCCTGGTCAAGAATCTGGAAGCTGTGGAGACCCTAGGCTCCACCTCCACCATCTGCTCCGACAAGACTGGCACCCTGACCCAGAACAGGATGACCGTGGCCCACATGTGGTTCGACAACCAGATCCACGAGGCTGACACCACAGAGGACCAGTCTGGTAAGAGGAGATCAGGAGGGTTAGGGTTGGAGTTAGTGTTAGATATAATGTTAGAGTTAGGGCTCAGACACACCAATAGCATTCTATAACCTATGTATTCACATGGTAGTTACACAGACAAGTACAGTTTAATTACAGGTTATTGATTGATATTGTTTTATCATCTCTAATCGGCCACCTCTCTCTCCAGGTGCCTCCTTTGACAAGACCTCAGCCTCATGGGCTGCCCTGGCTCGCGTCGCAGCTCTCTGCAACCGTGCCGTGTTCAAAGCTGGCCAGGACCAACTGCCCATCCTGAAGAGGGACACCGCTGGTGATGCCTCCGAGTCTGCCCTGCTCAAGTGTATCGAGCTGTCCTGTGGCTCTGTCAAACAAATAAGGGAGAAGAACAAGAAGGTGGCCGAGATCCCATTCAACTCCACCAACAAGTACCAGGTACGTAACACACATGTGTACATACACACACAACACAACACAACACTCAAATGGATTGGTTTATAACACCCTGACCATGTCTGATCTCCCTCTCCCCCTTCTTCCCCCCCTATTTCTCTCTCTCTCCCTTCCATCCTCAACCACCCCCATAGCTCTCAGTTCACGAGACAGAGGATCCCAATGACAACCGCTACCTGCTGGTGATGAAGGGAGCCCCAGAGAGGATCCTGGACCGCTGCACCACCATCATCATCCAGGGCAAAGAGCAGCCCATGGACGAGGAGATGAAGGAATCCTTCCAGAACGCCTACATGGAGCTTGGAGGACTGGGAGAGAGAGTACTCGGTGAGACAGGGAGAATGAAAGAGGGGGGGGGGGGGGGGGGAGATGAAGAGGGAGAGAGAGAGAGGGGTGGGGGGGTGAGAACAAGGAAGAGAAAGAAATGGGAAGAGTAAGAAATGGGCCTTCCAGAAGCATAAGATGGAGTAAGAGAGGTTAGAAGGAGTAGAGGGGGAGAAGTGGTGGATAAATGACAGTATCAATGATGAATAGATAAATGAGGATGACGACTTAGTAGAGAATGAGTAGGAAAGGTAATCAAGCTAACACCTCCTGTCACTCCCCAGGTTTCTGCCACCTGCTAATGCCAGAGGATCAGTACCCCAAGGGCTTTGCCTTCGACTGTGACGACGTCAACTTCACCACAGAGGGCCTGTGCTTCGTGGGCCTCATGTCCATGATTGACCCACCCCGTGCCGCTGTGCCCGACGCTGTGGGTAAATGCCGTTCGGCTGGCATCAAAGTCATCATGGTGACCGGTGATCATCCAATCACTGCTAAGGCCATCGCTAAGGGCGTGGGCATCATCTCCGAGGGCAACGAGACAGTGGAGGACATCGCCTCTCGCCTCAATATCCCCGTCAGCCAGGTTAACCCAAGGTGAGAAACATGAGACACATACACATACACACACAAGCGCAGTACATCATTTTACAATGAAGGTGAGACCACATGGGATCTTGTTCTGCTCCTTCATTGTTCTTATACATTTTCACTCTCATGTCACTTTCGCCCTGTCTCTGTGGATCCAAGCTAACTATTTGAATATGTGTGTGTCTCAGGGATGCCAAGGCTTGTGTGATCCATGGTACAGATCTGAAGGAATTGTCTCAGGACCAGATGGATGACATCCTCAGAAACCACACTGAGATCGTGTTTGCCAGGACCTCCCCCCAGCAGAAACTCATCATCGTAGAGGGCTGCCAGCGACTGGTGAGACACACACACAGACAGAAACAGAAAGACACACACACACCACCTGAATCCATCACCCAATCAACAAAAGTGAACTTGCTTTCCACAACTACACTAATATAAGTCTGGAAACAGGGTTGGGGTTCATTCCATTTTCAGTTCGGGGAGATTGTTGACATTTTATTCATGCATTTAAATATACTCATTGAAAATAATGGGCAATTGGAAATGAATTGATTGAATTGAACAGGGAATTGACCCCACATCACTTCCCCCTAGTTTTGGTACAATAGTGACTGTCTATGAGCCATGGTCAAAAGTACTACTAAAGTGCACTATAAAGGGAATAGGGTGCCATTTTGGACACAACCTAACTCTTTTGTCCCTCCCAGGGTGCCATCGTGGCTGTGACAGGTGACGGTGTGAATGACTCTCCTGCCCTGAAGAAGGCTGACATCGGCGTTGCCATGGGAATCTCCGGCTCTGACGTATCCAAGCAGGCCGCTGACATGATCCTGCTGGACGACAACTTTGCCTCCATCGTCACCGGAGTGGAAGAGGGTGAGAAATAGGGAGAGAGAGGAGAATCGATGGAAAGAGTAGAAGGGGGTGTGAGAGGGTGAGAGGGAGAAGTGGAAGAAAGGTAAAAGAGGGCAGAAAAGGAGAAAAGGGGAGGGACAGGTAATATGAGCCTGTATTCTTAAAGCATCTCAGAGTAGGTGCTGATCTCGAATCAGTTTTGACTTTTTAGATCAGAGTGAATAAGATCACATGAACAAGGGAGACCTGATCCTAGATCAGCCCGCCTACTCTGAGACACTTTATGAATAAGGGCGGGCCCTGATCCAACCTTGAGTGACCTTTGCTCAATTCTACAGAGGTTAGAGGTCAGAGTTCAGTTTGTGAACTCTATGTGTGTCCTCCTGTCTCCTTGCAGGTCGTCTGATCTTTGATAACCTGAAGAAGTCCATTGCCTACACCCTGACCAGTAACATCCCTGAGATCACACCCTTCCTCCTCTTCATCATTGTCAACATCCCCCTACCCCTGGGAACCATCACCATCCTCTGTATTGACCTGGGAACTGACATGGTAAGGCACACACACAAACACACAAAACACACACACACGGCAACACAGACACATGGCAGAGAGCTAAAGAAATACGATATTGTGCATCATTGAAAAAAATGTTCACATGGAAACTTGATATGCCCTATCTCACAAAGGAGCAATCAATCAAATATACATCAATGTGAAATATTTGGTTCTCATACAAACTCACACCCCAGGTGCCCGCCATCTCCCTGGCCTATGAGGCAGCCGAGAGTGACATCATGAAGCGTCAGCCCAGGAACCCCACCAGGGACAAGCTCGTGAACGAGAGGCTCATCAGCATCGCCTACGGACAAATCGGTGGGTTCCCATTAGCTCCCCCACCTGGTTGGGGGGATAAAGACAGTACATATGTAGCTGGACATGTTATCATAGCCCACAGCCAGATCAATGATCATTACTTGAAGTCCTTGAGCACTAGTCGTGAGGACATTGTGACAAATCTGATCAGGCAGTAGTTGGGGCCTACTCTATGGACAGTATGGTTGATTAGTATTTTACCACCCTGTGGTAGAATCGGACAGACTGATGGCATTATAGATCACAAATCTATGGTCAATGGTTTTTCCTTGTGGGATCCGGTTAACATCATTTCCAGAGTGAACGTGTGTTAACGCTTTATGTCTATGTCTGTGTGTGAAGGTATGATCCAGGCTCTGGGAGGCTTCTTCTCCTACTTTGTGATCTTGGCTGAGAATGGCTTCCTACCCTCAATTCTTGTGGGCATCAGGCTCAACTGGGACGACCGCGCTTGCAACGACCTGGAAGACAGCTATGGCCAGCAATGGGTAGGTACACGCTACAATTCCGAGCCAAAATAAGTATTCAAATCATAGCGATACAGTATATTACAAGTATATCTGCAAATTCATTGTTTACACTATTTCACCATATTTTATCAGTTTCTATAAATAAATATTCCCTGACCAAGATGGCCATCCTTTTAGTCACATTGCCGGGATGCCGATGTCCATTCTATGGTTCTATTTCATTCTATGATTAAAATACTGTGTCTCACTCCCTCTCTCCTCTCTGTGTGTAGACATATGAACAGAGGAAGATCGTGGAGTTCACCTGTCACACAGCCTTCTTCGTCAGTATCGTGGTGGTACAGTGGGCTGATGTCATTGTCTGCAAGACCAGGCGTAACTCTGTCTTCCAGCAGGGCATGAAGTGAGTCTGTCTGTCTGTCTGCCTGTCTGTTTCTGTCTCTCTTTTCCTGTCTGTCTGTCTGTCTGTTTCTGTCTCTCTTTCCTGTCTGTCTGTCTGTCTGTCTGTCTGTCTGTCTGTCTGTCTGTCTGTCTGTCTGTCTGTCTGTCTGTCTGTCTCTACATTTGTTAATATACAGTATGCTTGGTCTCTATGTATATTACGCTCTCTCACCCTCTATCTCCTCGGCACTACTCTCCTCTTAGGAACAAGATCCTGATATTTGGCCTGTTTGAAGAGACAGCTCTGGCTGCCTTCCTGTCCTACACCCCAGGCATGGATGTGGCACTCAGGATGTTCCCCCTAAAGTGAGTGGAGTAAACCCAGAAATATACAGGAATACATCTACACATACTGTGGACATACACCTACACAAACAGATAGACATAGACATACACCTATACATTAGCATACACATACACCTAAATATAATACAGCTACATACACACATACTGTACATACACCTACACTGACAGCTTGTGGGGTCCTCTTATTGACCTTCTATCTGTCATGTTGTGAGGTTGTGTTTATTAACCTCTGCCCCCCTCCTCTCTCTCTCTCTCTCTCTCTCTCTCTCTCTCTCTCTCTCTCTCTCTCTCTCTCTCTCTCTCTCTCGCTCTCTCTCTCTCTCTCTCTCTCTCTCTCTCTCTCTCTCGCTCTCTCTCTCTCTCTCTCTCTCTCTCTCTCTCTCCTCCAGACCAAGCTGGTGGTTCTGTGCGGTCCCCTACAGTGTCCTCATCTTTGTGTATGATGAGATCCGAAAACTGCTCATCCGTAGGAACCCAGGAGGTAAATGGCTGTCTCTCTCTCTTTCTCTATGTATAACATTTAGGCCTGAATCCTAACATGAGATTTGCATTTGTAACTTCACGCAAATCTTTAATTGACACAAAAACAAGAAAACTCTCTAACGCCTCTCTTTCTCTTCCCCTCCCCTCTCCTCCTACAGGTTGGGTGGAAAGGGAGACATACTATTGAGCGATGGAAACCGTCTTTACTCACACCCCTACATCTTCCATTTGTTTCTCCCCCCTTCATTCCATCCCTGGCAAGACACGTCTTCAGATGCCCCACCCCGTAAAAGACAACAACCGCTTCAAAGCAATTTTCATCACAACAGCCCCAAAGATGAAAAACAGCAAAGCACCTTCACGACTTTCTACATCAACCTCCCTCCTCTCCATCTCCTATGATACTCTTTGCATGTGTTCTCTCACTGCTGTGTACATAAACCAATATATCTACCAAACGGCAGCTGCATATTGTGTATGTAGATTTGAATGAGCTATGATCTAAAGGGAGTGTCTACGCTCAGCAAAAAAGGGCCATACCGCTCCTTCCTTCCTCCCTTCCCTTTCTTTCCCCCCTCTATCTCTATACCTCTGTTCCTCCCTCTCTTCCTCCTCCTGCAACCCTTTGCTTGTCCTCTGATCACACACAGATATACAGATCACAAGCGAGATCCCACAGCTGACACCAATCGAGCCATCCCCTCTCGCCCTCTCCTGTCTCCAGGAGGAAGAGCGGATGTCTTTCTCACTCCGACCATTTCCTTTTTCTTCAACAGTGTTGTTGTTTTTTGATAATATGGGGTGGGGGTTCAATGGTTTTACTTGTTTTTTTATTTATATAAAGGGAGGGGGGTATGTGAGAGCTTCTTTCCCTCATTTAGGCATAACAAAACACACCCCGCCATGGCGTCACCAGTCCCCCTTCCCTTCCTGTCTCTCACACCCTCCTCTCCCCGCTACTCCCTGTTTGTCTATGTTTGTGTGCACTGTGTGAACCATTGTCCTTGTTAAATACTACAGTACACCCCCAGTTGGAAAATACAACTCAATCTTTCTGTGTGTTCTAGGAAAACTATATAATTCTATACCGATTTAAAGAAATAAAAATGATATGTTGAAAATAAAACATCTCAAGATATGCATTCAATGAAAAAGAACATTGGCGGCATTGTTGAACCCGTTATGGAAAAAGAGGAAAGATCACCCTGTTTCCTTTTTTTGTATGGTTTCCAATCTCTTTTTTGCCAGGTTTTCAGAAAGCTGATGCAAAAATTTAAAAAGCGACAAGGTTTTCGGTTGTGTTTTATTATTAAAACATGTGAGACAGAATCTATGGCGTCCATATTCCTACTACCACTTCATTGTGCCGGTGAAATGTGGTGTGATGATTTGGTGTGAGATGACATGTCCATGTTCCTGGAGTCCGGTCCAGTCTAGGTGACCCAGTCCAGGTATTGAGTTCTGTGTGAATGTCTGTTTTGGAGACCAGCAGAGGAACAGCCATTTCAGGCTGGGTCTCACTCAGAGGGCTGTGGGGGGTTGAGACTACAGAAAATAAAATAAAAACAGTAGTAGAACATGTGTGTGAAAGAAAATGAAACCAACACCAATAAAACATCTAGAACATTTAATACAACTTAGCACTGTCTGTGTGTCTTTATCTCTCCCTGCCTTTGACTCGCTGCACTGACTTTCAGCCTCCATCTTCTCTTATGGCAGTCTGATACTATATGGCCTGAATTTATGAAATCTTGTAGGATAAAACTGACCAGTAATTTCTATTTTTGTCTTCACCTGGACAACATTTGGCATTGTATATCTGTAAGAGAATTAGGGATTTCCAAGTGATTCTTTAGACCGGCGAGATCTACTGTATCTAGTGTTTTACTGTGTTCCAGTATTGTAACTATAGTGTTGAGGTACAAATTGGCAGAGTGCTAGGATGCCATCTAGTGATGAGAATCACATCAGGTTACACTGCAAAATGGATAAACTGATAGAAGACTGTGAGTTGGCAAAAGCCCAGGGTAATGCAACAAACGACCAAATCAAGTAAATGTTTCGGCTTTGATGTTGAAACCTACAAACAGTTGCAAACAGAAGAAAGGCAGGATATATGACCACGTGTGAAGCAGAAAAACAAAACACAATAATTCTACAAAGCTCCCTGGTCTAATGCTTCATGGGAAAAATCACACAGCATCGACAGTAGTCCATCTTGCCAGACAACTGATATTCCGCATTAGTGAAACAGATGAATACAATTTTCTGGGAGTAAAGAATATCATCATGTCATCAGCATTTTACATTTGTGAAGCTTTGTTAGTCTTGCTTTGTATTCTGTACCTACTGATAACAAGAGTAGAGACACAGTATGGGCCAGTTTCCCAGACTGAGATTAAGCCTAATCCTAGACTAAAAAAAGCACTTTAGTTCTCCCCAAAACATAGTTTTTAATCCTGGAGTAGGATTAATCTGGGCTAAATTGCTGTGTTCAGTGGCTCAAATCTGCTATAGATATTACTGTAGGTAAAAAAAACCTGTCATGGGGGTATGACAGAGCCTGTGCCTGTACCGACACCTACCGTTTTAAATACACTCCCTCCTCCCTCTGTTCCTCACACATTTAAGGTTAGTCCGTAATAGCACCCTATTCCCTATATAGTGCACTACAGGGAATACAGCAGTTGCCATTTCTGATGCAGCTTTCCACAACAGGGATTGAAGGGGGGGGGGGGGGGGGGAATGTGAGAAAACGCTTAGCATTGATCGAGATGACGAGGTAGGCGTAAAGGGGGTGGGGTAAATGCTATTCACAAAAGGTGTATAAACTGCGTTGACACTCTACATCACTGACACTCGCTCTCTCTCTCACACACACACCCCTCCCCCTAAATTCCCACGTCCATGCAGTGAGCTCACTGCAGTGTGACTCCTCTCTCCCCCTCCGCATAATAGAATATCGATCGCCCGGCTTTGCCGCAGTGTGCAGTATGCCAGTGAGTGAAGTGTGTGTGTGGATGGGAGAACCTCCAAAGTCATCTCCATGGCAACCTGTGCATGGGGTTGTCTTGATGAGCAGTGTACAGGGGTCATGTACAAAGGGGGAAAAGAGGGGGGGCGGTGAGCACTGCGGTATCTGAAGAGTCAGACTGAGAGGGTGGGAAGGACAGGGAGGAGGACACGGAGAGAAAGAGAAAAGTAGGGAAACTACATCCTCTTGGGGGGCGGTACATCCGGGACACAAAAGGGCCTACAAAGTATTGCAATTTTGGCACATATACTGTACATACAGAATATACATACAACCTTTAATACCCTTTAATGTAATGTTTTAAATCCCCACAAATAAATATTATGCGCAAAAGGGACCCAAATATTTCAGAGGTCATGCTTGGATTTGAGTCCTCACACACACACACAAAATCGGACGCAACACAATATCTTACAGGTAGGAGAGTTTATTGCACTTCCCAATTGTCATAAAAATACCAAGAAATACCAAAAAGATAACATGACCTTTAAAAATAATATATTGACCTTTAAATGTCAAAGCCGTAATGCAGAGCTAATAAATTATGAAAAGTTAACAATCAACACTGCACCACATGCCTGCATATGACTAAAAGTAGATAGAGTATGTACAATACAGAGTATGATTTAAACATAATGCTTGAACACCATTAGGTATCTGGAATATCCAATAAGCATTGCTTTAAAGTAAATGCAATTTGTCAAAAAAATTGTTACTTTAGTTTGGCTAAATACATTGTAAAGCTGCAAATGGCACTTCTTCCCCAGTCAGAGAGGTGTTGGCGATTGTGATGCTATTTCCCTCATGCAGTTTAATAGTGCCACAATGAGGACTATTCAACATCAGCTATATAGGATAAAAACCAATCTGTCTTATTACTGTGGTGATGTTAAAGCTCTTTGTAACATGTCAGGTCTTGAGTTGACCGAGTTACATTTTGTATTATTAGATATCCACGAGGTAATATTAAACAGAAGGAACAGACATTAAACAAAAGGCTGACACTGACATTTTCACAGGACGAAATTTGTATTAAACACAAATGAGAGGTATCTACTAACATTTGGAAAAGGCCTACAGTATGAAGCAGGCATACCGATGAAGTATGTGCTGAGGTATATGAACGGCTCAGTCACTCTTTGTGCGTATGACAGTCTATCCATATATTCTTCTAAATTGAGTATTATTATGGTCTTAAAGAGTTTTAGAGGGTCATAAACAGCAAATTACTTCAGATGCAAGGCAAGGTGCATTCTATGTTATATTATGAAAGGTCAAAGGTGAGTGTTGAGGGTTCACACATAGAGAATGATAGAGGCCTCTAGTGGCCAAAAGGCTGTTTTAGCATGAGCAGCACCATTGAGGGCTTCCACCATTTCCATTTAAAGTAGTCAAAGTGGTCAACTGGGTGGGGATTCCTGTGGGTTGTAGCCTCAAATGGCACTGCCCATGCTGTCACAGATGCTATAATGGCACAGATATAAAGATTCCCCTCTCTCTACACCTTCACACAGGCTCCATGAAGAGCTCCTCCATTTCCGATCCTCCCTCCAGCTCTCGGAAGGCAGCGTGAGAGCCAATTACAAACATCGTCGCCCCTGAGTGACAAGAGAGACAGTCAATCAAATGGAAGAGATAGGAGAGGCTGGGGAAAAGGAGAGTAGAAGCCTAGGTTACAGTTAGGGCTCCATCTTGAGAAGCCAAACACAATGGTTAAACTTAGCAAATGATACGAAAAACACATTCTAAACAAACATGTTACTGAATAAGGTTATCTGATCCAAAATGTACACATTGCTAGTTTAGGAAGCGTGGATGTTGCGAAGAAAGAAGGTGCCGTAGAGAATTATCTGTACAAGTAAATTGTTTTGCCACAACAGTTAGCAAGCTACTGCTCCTATGACACTGCTTCCTGCCACCAAAAGTATGAGGTGGCCCCAGTAATGTTTACATTTTGTGACGTATCCACTTTCATAGTTTATTTTTAGCATATTAACGTTATTCACTATCATAATTGGTAGGAACGTGCATCTTTCCCTTTCAAGTCGATACGTATCTAGATACATGGGCTCCGATACGATAAAGGAACAGTACGTTTTAATTTGAAACGATTCGGTTTGATTAGAGAATGAATTGAAGCGATACATTAACATTTGTTGCATAAACACATTCATTTTCCATTCTAAATTAAAACCGGCTGCTGATGGAGCCCATGAGGGGGGTGGGTGGGTGGGGTGGTATGTGTGAATGATGTATGTCAATGGTGTAGACCAGGGCTGCCCAACCCTCTTCCTGGTGATCTACTGTCCTGTAGGTTTTCAGTCCAACGCTCTTCCTGGAGATCTACTGTCCTGTAGGTTTTCAGTCCAACGCTCTTCCTGGAGATCTACTGTCCTGTAGGTTTTCAGTCCAACCCTAATTTAGCGTATCTGATTCAGCTAGTTAAGGTCTTGTTGAGCAGCTAATAAGTAGAATCAGGTGTGTTAAATTAGGGTTGGACTGAAAACCCACAGGACGGTAGATCTCCAGGAAGAGGGTTGGGCAGCCCTGGTGTATACTATGTAGGCACCTGATCTGAGCCATAAGGGAGACTAGGCATCTACCACCCCACTATCAGATTAGTAACCCATGTTTTCTGTACCCCCACCCTCACCCACTAACTCACTTGTAATTTTTGCAGATTAAGTGTTTGAGCTAGTAATGTATCAATATGTATTGTTTACAATTTAGCCATGACATAGCCAATGAATATACACTAAGTATACCAAACATTAGGAACATCATCCTAATATTGAGTTGCACCCCCCCCATTTTCCCCTCAGAACAGCCTCAATTCGTCAGGGCATGGACTCTACAAGGTGTCAAAAGCATTCCACAGGGATGCTGGCCCATGTTGACTCCAATGCTTCCCACAGTTGTGTCAGGTTGGCTGGATGTCCTTTGGGTGGTGGACCATTCTTGATACACATGGGAAACTGTTGAGCGTCAAAAACCCAGCAGTGTTGCAGTTCTTGACACAACTCTGTGCGCCTGGCACCCCGTTTTATACCATACCCCGTTCAAAGGCTCTTCATTTTTTTGTCTTGTCCATTCACCCTCTGAATGGCACACATACACAAACTATGTCTCAATTGTCCCCATCTCAAAGTCTAATGGTTTTGACCATTTGGAAGTTATTAAGTGAGCTTCTTTTCTCCTCCCGCTTTGGCCATGCAGTGCGCCTCGCAAAAGTGATTCCTTGCTATGAAACTATCAACTTCACCCTATATATGTAAAAATGACCATATACACTGATTGTTTAAAGCAAAACTAACAAAAACTATTGCTGATGGTGAACTTGAACAATCTAAATAAAATATATTGTAACCCTTGTTCAGCAGGTATAGCCAGATGAGTTGTGTCTCCGGTAGTTTACTTTTATTCTGGTAAAACACCATTTTCAACAGCGCATAGATAACAATCTAGCCCATAGATGTGCAAGATCAGGAACAGGCCGCGTACCTCGCGAAGCTGGGCACAGTGCGCAGTTTGACAAGGCTACTGATATTCCCTGAGATTGTTCAGCATGGAAAATTACTTGTAGATCAATCACTATCAACACAGTTACATGCTTATTAATTCGACACTGAAGGAGAGGACGCATCATTTGTCTCAAAATATGAAGAACTTTCAGAAGGTAGAAAGAACGTAATATGTGCAAAATATGTTAGTGAATCTGCAATTCGTAACGTTTGAATCGATTTTCTAACTGATTCAAACTACATTTGGATCGATTTGGGGTCCGCGGACCGATGCAGTGGTATTTTAAACATTTGAATCGGGGACCGATGCATATCGGTGAATCGTTACATCCCTAATAATTGGTCTCCTTCAAAGAAAGATTAATTTGAAATATATTCCACAAAGTATATCTAGGCCTAAGTCTACAGTTATCCCAGGTCTGATGTGTACAGTAAAGAGTGAGATGGGGTTGTAACTTACCCAGGATCCAAAACACTGCAGCTCCTGCACCAGCCAACCAAAACACAGGGAAAGAGACCGCCCCCGCCAGACCCAATTGGTGAGGCCCGGTCACCTCTTTTCCTGTGAGAAAATTAAATCACTCAGATTTCAAGTACCATTCACCCAATTTATGGAGCAATTTCAGTGCCAACATAAATTGTATTTGAATTCCATAATTTTTAATTTGTATTAGGATATTGAATTTGAATTGAATATTTTTCCATTTGTAATGCACAAATTGAATCATATAATTCATCATTTGAATATTGCATTTCGTTTTTAAATTCTATTCAAATTTAATTGAATATTCAATTAGAATATTTCCATTTCAATATGGTAGATAGTGCATTCATTGTCTGTGTATCAAGTTTACAAACTATTATTTCAAGTTGATCAGTTTCATATATTCAACTTCTAGGATGCATTCAGATTCAGTTTTCAAATTAAGTTCTCTAAATTCAGATTCAAAATCAGAGACAACATCCTGGTACTTTGCCAGGCAGGAAAGGTAGAGGAGAACAGATTGAATCAAACGCTCTCTGTGGTAAACAGAAGCTTCTGGTGGTTGATTTAGGCTGTTCTGGTATACTCTCTTTAGTCCCAGTAAGGCACGAGTTAGGTTTCTGAAGCTTAAACTGGCCTCATCACCATTTTAAAGGGTCTTAAAATGTATTTCATGAAGTTAATATTATCTCAAATGCTTAACTATATACATGTGTGGTTTGGATAATAGTCCATCAGCATGCATAGCTATCTACCAGTTTAGGTGTGCTCGACCTTAATTGTTTGCTACAGAGTTGGTTGCTCAGGTTTAAGTTACTGTAGGTGTGGTGAGTTAAATAATTAGCGTGTAGTTCACCCATGCTTTCAGTCTCCCTGAGTAGTAGTTCTAATCATGTTCTATTTCATGTAGCTCTGTCTTGTACATGACTAAATATGGTAATTTAAACTAATGAATGCAATTAACTTAAATAATGTGTTCCATAGTGTTACCTGGTCTAATTAACAAAGTAAAGTTATTCTAATTAAATGCTCATTCTCATTGGTTAATAAGTGTGGGCGGAGTTGAGGCGCAAAGGGATAAGTGCCGACCTTTTCTCTCAGCTCAGGGTTGAACACCATTTTACAATGTGCTCCACAGCAGTTTGTTGTTAAGTCCTGTATGTACAGGCAGTTGATTTAGGCTGTTCTGGTATACTCTCTTTAGTCCCAATAAGGCACGAGTTAGGCTCTCTTTAGATCTGGAAAAGGGTTCATGCCTAGTTATGCTGTTTAGCATTTAGGCCTAGTCTTCGCTGCAGTAGGAATCCTATTGAGGGGCTGAGCTTTAGACTCGCTGTCATCCGTCATTTTTGTGAGTTTTCGTATCCTGAACGGTGGGGATATGGACAACTGTTTGAGACAAGCCATGTATCCTGAAACCCTGCATCTGTAATAAATTCAAGTATTGTTTTTGTACAATCATAGGTCCTCCTCACTCCCACCTATCACCTCCCTTGGATACACTGGGTCTGCTATTCTACAGGCATGTTGAATTTATTTCCTTTCTATGAATTTGGCTCTAGCGTTTGAACCGTTTTGGCCATAAGCTATTATGACCCCATTCCTGAAATCTTAGGAACATGAACGTGCCTTCTGTCCCCTCTATGATGATCACAGGCCGCGCAAGACATGTTAGAAGGGAATGCCACAAAAAGCACAATTTGGCCACCATAGGAATAGCCTTTCCACTCCCTATTTAATATTGCGCTTGAGACTGACTGGGTTCGAACCAGGTCTCCTGCACATCGCAAGCCCACTTTGCTAAAGCCTATAGGGATAAGTTCCAGAAATTCATGTAAACCGCTTGCTTAACGAGTACCACCTTTCCCTGATTCAGCTCATAACGAGATTCACTCAGGACCTCTGCCTAGCAAACATGTGACCGCCCTCCTGAAGCATTCCAACCCAATGCGTTATTTACTGAAAAGGGGCTTCTTCAATTGTGACAGAAATGGTAATCTACCTTCATTAGATATATTTAGATTTCTAAACTATAAGTCCTACAAACACATGCTTAGTACTGTTAGAAAGGTATGAACTGTGGGATTCTGATACAGATGAACAACAACGTGACTATTACAGAGCAACAGCAGGCAAAGAAAAGCACAAACAATATATATATATATATACACTGAACAAAAATATTGAACATGCAACATTCTTTTTGATTTTATTGAGCAACAGTTTATATAAGGAATTCAGTCAACTTTAATAAATAAATTAGGCCTAATCTCTGGATTTCACATGATTGGGAATACAGATACCTTTAAAAAAAGGTAGGGGCGTGGATCAGAAAATCAATCAGTTTCTGGTGTGACCACCATTTGCCTCATGCAGCACGACACATATCCTTCACATAGAGTTGATCAGGCTGTTGATTGTGGCCTGTGGAATATTTTCCCACTCTTCAATGGCTGTGCGAAGTTGCTGGATATTGGCGGGAACTGGAACACGTTGTCATATACGTCGATCCAGAGCATCCCAATGCTCAATGGGTGACATGTCGGTCTGGTGAGTATGCAGGCCATGGAAGAACTGGGACATTTTCAGCTTCCAGGAATTGTGTACAGATCCTTACGACATGGGGCCGTGCATTATCTTGCTGAAACATGAGGTGATTGCGGCGGATGAATGGCACAACAATGGGCCTCAGGATTTCGTCACAGTATCTCTGTGGATTCAAATTGCCATCGATAAAATGCAATTGTGTTCGTTGTCAGTAGCTTATGCCTTCCCATACCATAACCTCACAGCCACCATGGGGCACTCTGTTCACAACGTTGAGATCAGCAAACCACACAACGCCATATACGCTGTCTGCCATCTGTCCGGTACAGTTGAAACCGGGATTCATATTATATTGGTGCTGTGATCTCTCAGTATGAGGTCAAAGTGGGGTTAAATGTAACCATGGTGGTTCGATGAACCCCGCTCTTTTGATGAGTAACCTTGCTGGAGACATGTTAGCTTCCTGAACTCATCCCTATGGGCTTTAGCTAAGTGTGCTAACACAGTCTTGTGACATGCAGGAGGCCTGGTTCGAACCCAGTCAGCCATAAGAGCAAGATTAAATAGGGAGTGAAAAGGCTATCCTTAGAAGGGCTATGACCAGGCTATTAAACTATATTGTTATGGGGGCCACATTTTTGTGACACTCCCTTCTAACGTCTCCTGCGCGGCCTGTGATCATCATATTGGGGAACAGAAGGCATGTACATGTTTCAGAGAGTCTAACCTTTCAGGAATGGGGTCATAATAGCGTATAGCTAAAACGGTTCAGACACTACAGCCAAATTCATAGGAAGACAATACATTAAAACATGCCACATTGGCTTCAGAAACTGCCAGAGGCTTCTGTTTACCATAGAGAGCGTTTGATTCAAACCTCTACCTTTCCTGGCTGGCAAAGTACCAGGATGTTGTCTCTGGTTTTGAATCTGAATTTAGAGAACTGAATCTGAATGCATCTGAGAAGTTGAATATATGAAACTTTGATCAACTTCAAAGCTTGTAAACTTGGTACACAGACAATGAATGCAATATCTACCATATTGAAACTGAATATATAAATATTGAATTTGAACAATCAATTCAATTTAAAACAATGCAATATTTATTAAAGTCAGTGTCAAATCATGAAATACAATAATTTGTTACAAATTTAAAAAATATTAAATTCAAATTCAATATCTTAATACAAATGTAAAATTATGGAATTCAAATAAAATGTATGTTGTTATTGAAATCGCTCCATATCAATCATCTTACAGATCCTGACTCCTTTACTCACCAAAGACGACCAATTTAGACTCCTGGGACTTGAGGTGGATGATGTAGAAGGCACCAAAAAACACTGCCAAAGCAATCAGCAGCATGGGAGAGCTGATACTGAGGTAAAGAGGGGGAGATTGGAAGAGGGAAAGAGTTATTCTTTGATAATCACAGATTCTAAATCAACTCAATCCAGCATAGATCTAGGCCTATTCGAACCACTGAGATTTTGAATTTGAAAATAAAATAGGCTGCTGGCAGCAGTCTATCTAGAAACAATATGTAATTACTGTGTTTTTATATTCACTGACTACCACAGTGTCTTTAAAAACTCCTGTCCCGCAGCTCTTACATGCAGTAGAGGATGAGGCCAAGGAAGATGAAGGTGTAGTTGCTGTTGTAGGTGTCCAAGTTGCGCACCACCCTCTGGCACAGTTCGCCAAAGTTGCGGGGCTTGGTGAACTTCCTGTGATCCACGAAGCCAGCCCAGGGACGGATGGACGCACGGCGACGGTCAAACCACTCCTTGGCCACACCGGCCGAGAGGCCTTTGGGCAGCCACAGCCTGTGAGGCAAGGCAGAAAGCCAGGGTGGTAAACTAAACAAGAGGTATGGGGAGATGGAAAAAATGTATAGCATCAATCCAAGAGACTGATGGACACAGAATGAACAACAACACATCATAGCCAGGCATAATACAGGGAAAGGACAAACTGACCCATCTAGCTCCTTTAGTGGTAGGCTAGATTAAGAAAAATATGAGACAAATTCAGATCACAATTGATTGTCCTACAGACACAATAATAGCCACAGAAGAATGACTACACATGAAATGAGGACTGTATATAAAATGTTTTTGGACCAAAACCCATCACCAACAATGGTCCCAGAGAGCTACATGGTGCTACAACTCATCAAGTTGAATCAGGTGTGATAGTGCTGGGCTGGAACAAAAGCTTGCCCGCCCTGTAGCTTTCCAGGACCAGGTTTAGTGACTGTTGGCACTAGACCAGGGCTCTCCAAACCTGTTCCTGGAGAGCCGTCCTGTAGGTTCACTCCAACCCTAATCCAGCTCACCTGATTCTAATATTTAGCTGGTTGACAAGCTGAATCAGAGAGGTTACAACTGGGGTTGGAGCAAAAACCTGCTGGTGGGTAGCTCTCCAGGAACAGGATTGGCGAGCACTGCACTAGACAGATTAACTAACAGATAGACAGAGCTAGAAAAACAACAGCACACACTTTCCCATGACACCTCCGGCTCCAGCAGCATCAGCTGGCTCAGCGCTGAAGAGATCCCCTGCCTTGGAGTCCATATCTACAAGGCAGTTCTCACCCTTTGGGACACCAGATTTCATTAGAGTAACTGACGCCGAGGTAGGAAAGATGTAGGCTAAAATACAACATGGGACATAGCAGTGACAGAAAATAGACATAAAAGGTTAATGGCACTGTTTCACAAGTGACAACAAATCCTCTCACATAATGCAAAACTAGGCTTTCGATTGTTGTAACAAATTAATAACGCACAGTGACAAAGCTACAGACTGTAGGGAGAGTCTGGGGTTATGGAATGGAAAATGTTTGTCATCATGGATGGGCTTGCCCACAGACCGTTCAATTGCCACATCATTTAGCTAGATAGTTAAATTGAATATAAATGTCTGAATCACAGAAACTAACACACAAGTTGTTCACTGTCATTACTCGAAACCTTGAATATCTCCGTTTTAGACAACTTTTCTACACTAAATAACGATTCCTGTCGAAGAAGCTTTAACAGCCACATCACCATTCCTTCATGTCAATTATTGCTAAGCTTAGCCACTATTCTAGCAACCCGCATTGTCTCAGCTCACTGCCATGGAATTGCATATGAATACGAATAGCTTTCGCTACATACAAAATAGTTACATAAATAATATAATTGAAGGCATACTCACAGTAGTTTAAAATGTTTACGGTGCTCAGAAATACTACTTACGCTGTGCTCAGCGGATGTGATGTGGAATAAAATTGAACGCAGGGTCTAACTTCCGGTATAATTTTTTCATGAATTTCAAAATAAAAGTCCAAAATAGGATAGAATACTTTTTAGTGTGAACTTCGTCAAGATCATATATTTTTATTAATTTATTACTGGAAAAATAGTATAGCCATTTAACTGGAGTAGAAAATGAGATAAATACCTGATAGCTATTTATGAATTATGAGTTATCAATGAACATTGTGTAACAGGAATGTCCAGGTGAACAAAAAGGAGAGCAATCGTTGAAGTCAAATCAAAATCAATCCGGTTTAATACAATTCAGGGAAACACTTCCAGAACAGAAGCATACAAAATGTCTAAAGGTCCTTATATATTAATCGCACAGCACCGAATGTTCTGTAAACACCAGCCAGAGGCTTGTAGGAAGTCACATCAGCTGCTACAGAATCACAGTGTCACAGATACATTATCAGTGTGTCCTCAAATCCAGTCTTGCGTCAAACTTTAACCATAACATTCAACATTGGCAGACATTTGATACTGGCAGTTAAACATGTAAAAAATAATAACATCAGTAGTTAGTTACAATAGATAATTATATACTAACAGGCACAAAACGACTTAATTAAATATAGACAGATACATTACCAAAGGGAAACTAACAGGTCTGTGAGAGCCGCAATTCTTACTGGTTGGTAGGTGATCAAATACTTATGTCATGCAATAAAATGCAAATTAATTACTTAAAAATCATACAATGTGATTTTCTGGATTTTTGTTTTAGATTCCGTCTCTCACAGTTGAAGTGTACTATGATAAAAATTACAGACCTCTACATGCTTTGTAAGTAGGAAAACCTGCAAAATCAGCAGTGTTTCAAATACTTGTTCTCCCCACTGTACATTTCAACAGTAAATCAAATACAGGGAAAGAATTACCCAAATAATTTCCCATTACAGCATATCTGCTATTTATTCTGTGCCACGTTCTGGATGTCTGAAAAATGTATGATATAAAAATATGATATTTAAGTTTCTGGTTGAAATAAGAACCACACATTTCAGATGGTAGCCCATGCACATTTAATAGTTCACCTGGAACATAGCATACTAATTATTTATACCTGTCAATACATATACAATGAAATAGACAAGTATTTGCGAGCAAATTGTCATCAAACTCAGAGGTATGACAATAGTTTTGGTATGAAAGGCATGAAGTAACAAACACTTTAAAAAGTAGGACAACATCACAACAGTGTTCAAAACAGATCTGATGTATTACTGGAGAACGCATTTTACTTTCAAGACAAAAAATGCAAAGTTTTGTTTTCAAGATACAGGACAGCAGCTCAAATGTGTGTCCTGTGTCATACTAATGAGCAGGGACTACTGCTGCTCAGAAATCTGATGTGCAATGTTCATGTGGACTTCTAACAATGTTCTGTAAGTTCAAGCTAGTCCGGTCATATCTTGTTGACCCATGAGCCGGGTTCTTGGGGGTATGTACTAGACCCCATCTCCTCTTTCTGGTGGAAGTGACAATATGCCTCTCAATCCTGTCTGATGCCCTTCCCCCCGAAGGCCATGCCATGTTTTCTCCCTGTTGTGAATGTGCCTTCCTAGTCCAATTGAAGCACTTGCAGCAGGGATTGCATGTAAGCCTACAATTTTTCCTCAATGTGACTTGTTTGAAGCCTAGTTAACCTCTACGGGACAGTTGAGCTAACATGCGCTATTTTGATTAGCATGACTGTTGTAAGTAACAGCAAACTTTCCAGGACATAGACATGTCTTATATGGGCAGAAAGCTTAAATTCTTGTTAATCTAACAGCACTGTCCAATTTACAGTAGCTATTACAGTGAGAAAAGACCATGCTATTGTTTGAGGAGAGTGCACAACAACAAAAAACGTATCACGGCAACTGGTTTGATACATTCACCTCTGAAGGTAAATAATGTATTTGCATTCAGTAATCTTGCTCTGATTTGTCATCCTAAGGGTCTCAGAGATAAAAATGTACCAGAGTTCTGTTTGATAAAATCTATTTTTATATTCAAATGTAGGAATAGGGTTCTACAGTTTGAACCCCTGCTGTCTCTGGCTCCACACCCACCCCGCCCGGCCATCTAGATGTGTATCATTTTTGTATGTTCATTTATGTACTTGAAAATGTATCAATTGACCAATTCGGCACATTTGGGCAAACTTGATACAAAATAGTCCAGTATTGCAATGCTTCACTGGATCAATCTGAAACTTTGTGCGCACCCTGCTGCCATGCTCGCATCTGCTACAAGACTATGGTGCTTGCCTACGGAGCTGTGAGGGGAACGGCACCTCCGTACCTTCAGGCTCTGATCAGTCCCTACACCCAAACGAGGGCATTGTGTTCATCCACTTCTGGCCTGCTGGCCCCCCTACCTCTGCGGAAGCACAGTTCCCGCTCAGCCCAGTCAAAACTGTTCGCTGCTCTGGCACCCCAATGGTGGAAAAAGCTCCCTCACGACGCCAGGACAGCGGAGTCACTCACCACCTTCCGGAGACACTTGAAACCCCACCTCTTTAAGGAATACCTGGGATTGGATAAAGTAATCCTTCTACCCCCCCTTACCCCACCCCAAAGAAAGAAAAGAAAAAAAACATATTGTAAAGTGGTTATCCCACTGGCTATAAGGTGAATGCACCAATTTGTAAGTCGCTCTGGATAAGAGCGTCTGCTAAATGACGTAAATGTAAATGTAATCTAGTGGCCAAAATCTAAATTGCGCCTAAACTGCAATATTATATTGTGGCCTTTCTCTTGTATTTCAAAGATGACGGAACAATTTTTTTTATAGAAAACGCATGTTTTTTTTGGGTATTATCTTTTACCAGATCTAATGTGTTATACTCCTACATTAATTTCACATTACCACAAACTTCAAAGTGTTTCCTTTCAAATGGTATCAAGAATATGCATCTACTTGCTTCAGGTCCTAAGCTACAGACAGTTAGATTTGGGTATGTCATTTTAGGTGAAAATTGAAAAAAAGGGTCAGATTCTTAAGAGGTTAATGCACTTGTGATAAAGCATTTTCTATAGGACACTTGTATAGTCTCTCACCACTTTGTGTGAATCCTCATAAGCACTGTCAGATGAGCCAGATCACAGTTCTCTCCAGTGTAAACAAACTGTTGACATTTTGTTGTGCATGCTGAATTAAGATATTTTATAAATTTTGTGCATTCTCATTATGCCTTGCCAAATGTCCACTGTGCAAAGGCTTTGCCACAGTCATGAAAGAGACGTGTTTCTCTTCTGTGTGGATTCTCAAGTTGGGTGGGTGTCAGTGCTGAGATATTTCTCACAAACACAGCAATTGGCCTATAAGATTTATTTCCTGTGGGTCTTCATGTGCATTTTAAGATTTCCATTCTGAGCAAATCCTTTGCCACAATAATCACAACAATATGGTTTCTCCCCTGTATGAATCCTCCTGTGCGCGCTCAGATTTGCAGTATTGCTGAAACATTTGCTACAATCATGGCAGCAGTATGGTTTCTCCCCTGTGTGAACTCTCATGTGTCCTGTATAATTTGATCTGGTGCTGAAACTTTTGCCACAAACAGAACAGAGATATGGCTTCTCCCCAGTATGTCTCCTCCTGTGCAAAACCAGATGTCCACTTTGAGTGAATCCTTGGCCACATTCCTGGCAGCAATATGGTTTCTCGCCGGTGTGAGTCCTTTTGTGTCCAATCAAATTGGCTGCATCGCTGAAACACCTGCCACAATCATCGCAGCGGTATGGTTTCTCTCCTGTGTGAACCCTCATGTGCTTTTTCAGCCTAAGCTTTGTGGTGAACATTTTACCACAAACATGACAAAACTCAGGCTCAGCTACGATGTGAGTTTGGAGGTGGTCTTTCATACTCTCTTTAGAATCTAGGTGCTTTCCACACACACCACAGAGACGTTCTTTATCCTCAATATGTGCATGACTTTGCACATGATTCAAAAAGGGACGCTTGTACCGAAAAGACCTCCCACAAACCTTACAAGAACATGGAGTACATTTCATGCCATTTGCACTGCTATAAGTTTGTTTTCTTTTTTGTTTTCTTGTAGTCTTTGGTTTGTGTGACTTTAAAACGGACTGCACTCCTTTGCTTTCCATCCCATTGACATGTTCACTATTTTTACTCTGAGCTGAAGAACAGGTTGGTTCTGATATTCTGTAGTCCTCTCCATCAGGTTCTGTTTTGATCTGTCCAGTTACAATGTTTGGTTGAGAGTCTCTCTCCCTATTTTCCTCACTTTGGATTTGCGAGGACTGAGTTGGGTCCTGATCATAATCACTTACACAGAAAGGATCAAATATGAACTCTCTGGTGTCCGACTCCAGCCACTGAAGTTGCTTTTTGAGTTCCTCCTGCTCCTTTTTTATCCTTATGGGCTCGCTGTCCACCTGTCCAAGACTAAGGCTCCAATCCTGCTCACAGGGCTGCTGCTCAGGGGGAACCTCCTCTTCCAATACAGTGAGCTGCTGGAGGTCTGGAGGGAGAGAAAGGGATGAAATGAGAAACTCAAGTCTACTAACCTTACAATGCAACGGACGTTAAAATTGATAAAAGGTCAAAAATGCAGTTCTGATCATTTTAACAGCTGCATACTCAACGCTTTTCAAATAAATACAAATCCATCAAATATTGACGGAATTATAGAACGTCAACAAAAAGTCTAAAACTGATTTAAAAAACGTTAGGTTATGTGGCAAGTGAAATTACACCCTACAGAAACAGGGAAATAATGGCTGAAACGGGAGGAATCCTGATGGCGGGCATGCGCGTTGCCTCTTCAAGAATGTCTAGCCATAATGTTACTTTTGTGGACACTGACTCTCAAAATGAAATAACTAACACTGTCAATTTGTATTAAATATAGGTTGAATAATAAATGTAAGAAACCTGCTCTTTGTAACTTTATCTCAGGTTTAATAACGATGTCAAGAATATTCTGTAGACGGTTGTTCTCCTCTTTCGAACGGGAAATCTCTTCCTGGTACTTCCGCTATCGTTTTTTCAACTGCCCCAAATATCTCCTCAGCAGCCGCAGTTAACCGCTGGTTGAGAAACACTCTCAACAACTGTATTTTAGACATTTTTACAGAATGCTAGTGCTAGCTAGCTAACAATCAGTGACAACGCTCTTCTTTTACAACAACTTCGTTCATCAATGATAGATTTTCATGGATCTTCTGTGCCAAACGCTTGCGTAGTCTGCACCACGGCTTAACGCATTTTGCAATGTCGCTACCTACTGGAGTGGAGTGGACACGGTCAGTTCGGATTTCTATGAACATTCTCCATTTCATACATAGACGATAAGGAACATTCATTTCGCTCCTTATGTGTACCACTCAGGGTTGGACCAAGTCACTATTGTTCGAGTCACAAACAAGTCTCAAGTCACATGGTTCCGAATCTCAATATTTTATAATACCACACAAACTACCGAAATTACAGGCTAAGAATGTTCATCTTATTATATTTCTCCAATGCCAAATCAGTTTGTCTTGTTTGCAACGAAACTGTCCCTGTTTGTAAACAAATAAATGTGAGACGTCATTAGGAATCTGAGCATGGTACTTTCAAAAGTTAGGCCTACCTTTCCACTATTAGACAGAGTAGGCCTACCGACGCAGAAAAATGTAAGCTTTAACTGCTGGCTACTCTTCTTCCATGGCTTAACCCAACGTGAGAAGGTCACAAGTATTTCCCTAAAAGCTGTCTGGGTTTAAACATCTTCTATTGTACAGAAAGTGAATAGCTTAATACATTAATTTAGTCTCCTAGGCTATAGAAGGTTGAATCTCAGCCTCAATGTCAAAGAAACTAAACAATGATATCCTCATTTGCATCTGAGTCTTTCCCGGGTATTTTACAGCTTTCTTTTTAGCATCACTTTAAATAATCGGATCTGTTGTATTTTCTTCAAAATCTTAAAATAACAATGGGTAGGCCTGCGCAGTTATAGATCACTTTAAATAATTGGATATGTTTTTGTTTTTTTTCAACATTTTAAGCTAACAATGGGTAGGCCTGTGCTTTTTGGCATTTTCTTTAATTAAAGGTAGGCCTATGGCATACCCTCTCATACCCCCTCAATTCGAGTCCTGGTTTAAACTTAACAGCCCTTCAGAAATAAGAGTTAGGCTATTTAAAGAGTGCATAATGGATGGAGGAATTGGCCTACAAATCAATGGATATAGCAGCCTATAGGTAGGCCTACCTCTTATTTCTTAAATATGAAGAAATAGGCTCCAACACAAAGCCCTCTTGTTGTTAGTAAAGTCTAACTAAAATGAAGACGATTGAAATGAATTACTAGAATGTGCCTACTTTCAGCACAATGAGCACTCCATTTCCGATTGATTGTGCCACGGCTGCTGCTTCAAGCTTCAGCACCACAAAAGTTACTTGAATCAGGCTTATTGTGAGGTATTTTTCCACATTTTGTTACGTTACTGCCTTATTCTAAAATTGATTAAATACTTTTTTCCCTCATCAATCTAGACACAATACCCCATAATGACAAAGCAAAAACAGGTTTTTAGACAATTTTGCAAATTTATATAAAATAGAAAACAGAAATTCCTTATTTACATAAGTATTCAGACCCTTTGCTATGAGACTCGAAATTGGGCTCAGGTGCATCCTGTTTCCATTGATCATCCTTGAGATGTTTCTACAACTGGATTGGAGTCCACCTGTGGTAAATTCAATTGACTGGACATTATTTGGAAAGGCACACACCTGTCTATATAAGGTCCCACAGTTGACAGTGCATGTCAGAGCAAAAACCAAGCCATGAGGTTGAAGGAATTGTCCGTAGAGCTCCGAGACAGGATTGTGTTGAGGCACAGATCTGGGGAAGGGTACCAAATAATTTCTGCATTCTTAAATGGAAGAAGTTTGGAACCACCAAGACTCTTCCTAGGGCTGGCCGCCCAGCCAAACCTCGCAATCGGGGGAGAAGAGCCTTGGTTAGGGAGGTGACCAAGAACCCGATAGTCACTCTGACAGAGCTCCAGAGTTCCTTTGTGGAGATGGGAGAACCTTCCAGAAGAACAACCAGAAGAAGAAACAAGATTTTCTGGTCTGATGAAACCAAGGTTGAACTCTTTGGCCTGAATGCCAAGCGTCACATCTGGAGGAAACCTGGCACCATCCCTACGGTGAAGCATGGTGGTGGCAGCATCATGCTGTGAGGATGTTTTTCAGCGGCAGGGACTGGTAGACTAGTCAGGATCGAGGGAAAGATGAATGGAGCAAAGTACAGAGAGATCCTTGATGAAAACCTGCTCCAGAGTACTCAGGACCTCAGACTGGAGCGAAGGTTCACATTCCAACAGGACAACAACCCTAAACACACAGCCAAGATAACGCTGGAGTGGCTTCGGGACAAGTCTCTGAATGTCCTTGAGTGGCCCAGCCAGAGCCCGGACTTGAACCCATTCTAACATCTCTGGAGAGACCTGAAAATAGCTGTGCAGCGATGCTCCCCATCCAACCTGACAAAGCTTGAGAGGATCTGCAGAGAAGAATGGGAGAAACTCTCCAAATACAGGTGTGCCAAGCTTGTAGTGTCATACCCAAGAAGACTCAAGGCTGTAGTCACTGCCAAATGTGCTTCAACAAAGTATTGAGTTAGGTCTGAATACTTATGTAAATGTGATATTTCCATTATTTATGTTTAATACATTTGCAAAAATTTCTAAAAACCTGTTTTTGCTTTGTCATTATGGGGTATTGTGTTTAGATTGACAAACAATTTAATCAATTTTAGAATAAGGCTGTAACATAACAAAATGGGGAAAAAGTCAAGGGGTCTGAATAATTTCTGAATGCACTGTAACTCTGATAAATACATCAAGGGCAAGAAACATATTGTTTTTTATTAAAATCCATTATATTTGTAGCAAGCTATCAAAGTTGACCTCTGGTCCTTCTCATTTTCGCGCTCTCCTCAAACTGAACAGAACATAGGATATAGGCGCAGTGTGTAATGCAGCCTAGATTTATTTAGCTGTACAGCAGATCAGCAATCTCTTCGCTAGCTCAGTTGTTGTCAAACCTTTTGACCAGCGACCCCCCAAAAAGGAGTGGTTCAAAGCTTGCGACCCCCGCGCACGCAAATGCTCGCGCGCACAGGTGATGCATTTTCAAAACGCTAGATACAGAAATAAAAACTGCTTTTTATACCTGCATTTCGAGATGAAAGTAATTCATGTTAGCAGTCAATACGAACTATGGACATCACGTCACATTTTCACTTCTCTGGAGCGGGGGTTGCAGGATCCGATGGAAAGAATGATCTGTCTGTCGCCTTTTTCTTCCTCACAAATATCCTCATTAATTCGCCAGAATATGTCACATTTTCATCCCATAAGTATTTAAGGTAGTGCAATGTTACAGCTATCTTTAGACATATAGCCAGTACCACCACTGAGGTATGTAATTATAACCCGACCAAACTAGGCCTATCTGAAATATGAAAATGAATGAAATCACCAGGTAGCCTATTGTTCTGGCAAAGATGCGTCTGTAGCAGATTGCTAAATTGAATTTTATATGGATAATTTTAACGTCGGTAGGCTACTCTGTTTTTGCCAGGCAGAAAATTAAACAAGTGCTTTCTGGTCACTAATCTGGATATGTGCGCCCGCTTTTGCGCGCCAATGCTGATGACTGGTTTGGTCAACAGTCAAGACACGCAATGTTTTGGTTCTGAAACACAGATTATAATAATTTGGTGCAATGTTAGTGACCAGATCGAATAAGAAAAGGCATAAATATAAAATACAAATGTGTATGCATTGTTTATCAGTGGTATAAAGTACTTAGATAAAAATACTTTAAAGTACTACTTAAGTCGTTTTTTGGGGTATCTGTACTTTACTTTACTATTTATATTTTTTGCCAACTTTTACATCACTACATTCCTAAAGAAAATAATGTACTTTTTACTCCATACATTTTCACTGACACCCAAAAGTACTCGTTACATTTTGACAGGAAAATGGTCCAATTCACACATTTATCAAGAGAATATCCCTGGTCATCCCTACTGCCTCTGATCTGGCGGACTCACTAAACACAAATGCTTTGTTTGTAAATTATGGCCCTGGCTATCTGTCAATAAAAAAAATGTAAAACAATTGTGCCATCTGGTTTGCTTAATATAAGGAAGTTGAAATGATTTATACTTTTACTTTTGATACTTAAGTACATTTTAGCAATTTCATTTACTTTTGATACTTAAGTATATTTAAAACCAAGTACTTTTAGACTTTTACTTAAGTAGTATTTTACTGGGTGACTTTCACTTTTACTTGAGTCATTTTCTATTAAGGTATATTTACTTTTACTCAAGTATGACAATTGAGTACTCTTTCCACCACTTTTTCCCATTCAGTTTCACACTCGCGACCCCAAAGCCTTCTCACTGCGCTACTGTACCGCACCCGACCTATGTTGAATGACAGTTTGCTGGCCCAATCAGAGGATCGAGTGTGCGTTTCACTAGCCAACCAGTTTTTTTGTAAGTGCGATACTTTCTCTGGCTGCGTGGAGAGTAGCCTAAACCACGGAGACTCTGTGCCATAAAATTAGCAGCCAGTGACAAAACCTGGCCAGATAATTTCAAGTCATCAGTCTCAAGTCTAAGTCACGTGACTTAGTTCTCAGACTGAATTATTTAAATGCTTTAATTATTTTAAATGGTTCTTCAATGGTATCAAACTCAGAAACATAGCTAAGTAGGGATAAGACTATGACAACAGATTTGGTGAGTTGATTGTGAATTGTTTTGCCTTCAGGTGTCCACATTAGAAAGGTCACTGAGGTAAACAAATGACAATAATGTAGGCATATGGAAAATGTTTTGGCTCTTGTGATCACTGGAGGAAAAGGATAAAACAGAAGTAAAAACAGATGTGATGTGACATTACACCAAATGAACAAGACAAAAACGATCTTTATGCACAGACAGGTGTAAGATATGCCTCTAAATCGTTACCTTAATTTGACAAATACAACTCACATTGATCAAGACTTATGTATATTTCCATTTGTAGGACCTGGGAAAGTGGTTACAAACATGTAAAAAGACAACACACACAAAATTGCCATAGAGATCCTATAATTAACTATAATATAGTGTTCTATTTTGTTATAGTGTAATTATATGGCAAGAGCATATGGCATATTATATGGCAACAGTATATAAAAAGCATCAGGATGTAACTTTTTCATAGCAACTGTTACCCTTTCCCCACACAAGGTCCTGTCATATATTCTCCCTCTCGTGGGTAATCCTTATGTGCCTTCCAAGGGAGTTCATCCATTTGAAGGATTTGCCGCAATAATTACACCTAAACGGTTTTCCATCAGTGTGAATTGTCTGATGCCTATTCAATGCGCTTGTTGTCATAAAGCATTTTCTACATATAGGACACTTATATGGTCTCTCCCCTGTGTGACTCCTCACATGCGCTTTCAGATGATGAATATTGCTGAAACATTTGTCACAGACACGGCATTGCCATGGTTTCTCTCGGTTTTCCTCACTTTGTATTTGGTAGAGATATGAGGACTGAGCTGCCGGGTTCTCTCCGTCTTCCTCACTTTCTATTTGGTGAAGGTATGAGGACTGACTTGGGTTCTCACTGTTTGTCTCACTTTGTATTTGGTGAAGATGTGATGAATGAGTTGGGTTCGCTCTGCTTTCCTCACTTTGTACTTGGTGAAGATGTGATGAATGAGTTGGGTTCTGATTCGGATCATAGTTACTTTTCAAACAGGCAGGACTGAATGTGAAGTCTTTGGTACCAGATTCTAGCCATTGAAGTTGCTCTTCCCTCCGACTGGTCCGGAGTTCATCCTGCTCCTTTTTAATCTGTGTGGCCTCTGGATCCTCCTGTCCCAGACTTGGGCTCCACTCCTGCTCACAGTGCAGCTGCTCAGGGGGAAGATCCTCGTCAGAGACAGTCAGCGGCTGGGGGTCTGAGGGAGGGAGAATGGATTTAAAAATAAACCTAATGACATGAAGAAAGCAATAAATATAAGTACCAATAAGTAGAAAACAAAGACACGCCAAGTTTGGATTCAAACCACTGCCGCAATTCAAACACCTGCCACTCATGGTTTATGAGTCCACCCACCCCATGCACAAGATTGTCTTTGGATTCTTACTTTTGTAAAACCTACAGCATAGTAGTGAACCTGCAGAGTTGAAACAGGCCAGGCAAACCTGCTGTCTCCAGCATGTTTTTGTGGTCTGACAAAACGTGTAGAATGCAGGTAGCTAGCAACAGACTTAGTTCTCGAGAATCCAAGGGGCTATGCTGGCAATGCAATTTGAGTCAGATGGGCAAATATTGATGAGCTTCACATGAATCAGTACTAGCTAAATGCAGTAATATCAAAGCAGTAGCAGATAGCTAGCTAGTGCCCATAAGCGTTTTTAAAATGTCCCAAACCTGTTTTTTGTAACCTTAGCAGCCTCCGTAGACGGTTGTTCTCCTCTTTCGTGCGGGAAACTTCTTCCTGGTACTCTACAATTGTCTTTTCAATTGTCCCAAATATCTCATCAGCAGCAGCTGTCAATCTTTCGTTGAGAAACAATCTCAGTAACTCTATTTTTGACATTTTGAGGAATGCTAGTTGAGTAGCTACCACAAGTAACGTAAACAAAGCAGTGAGGTTCTTACTTCCGGTCACCTTTTTCTTCTCACAATTTTCAAAATAAAAGTCCTGTCGAGCATTCTGAAATGGGATAAACTGAAATAAGATATGAAAATTGGATAATTAAATAGAAATTGGATTGAGTAAAAATGTATGCATTCAGATTTTTTTTAAAGAGAAAGACAAAACTATTAAAAAACTATATAACTATAAATGTTTATAATTATATAGGCTCTGTTATGTAAAATAGTTTGAGAAACTATTAACAATACTTAACAGGAGATTAAAGTGCACCAGAGTATAGATTGGTTAAATTGCCAAGTCTCACACAAACACACAAAATTCTAAATCCTTTGATACCTGCTTGGCAGTCACTGTGTCATAAAATATGATTATGTTTTCAGTTCAGTGTCGAGGTAAATATAGCAGGCAAAGACCCCTTCCACTGTTCGCTGCATGAATATCATGGGTTGCATGTCTCGTCATAATATTGTTTTCAACTTTCGTTTTGGACTGATGCCCGACAGCATTCTACTTTGTACGTCGTCAATGAGCGCTGATGAAGATTTAATCAAAAGTGCATTATGGTGGCTTGGAAATACAATGACATTCAAAAGGAGGCAAATAATCATTTTGATGTCGCCAGATTGACTTTAGATGCAACATAACGTTAACTAGCTAAGATTGAGGGGAGGCCACCTGATTTGAGCTAGCTAACGTTAGCATTGCTAGCTATTTTTGACGAACTTTGCTAGCTAATGACAACAATGCCATCTGTCTAAAGTAAATTTCACGACATGATAATGCTGGCAAAGTTGTTTCTGTTAGAAATTGCGTAATTCAAATCTGGTATTGGAATAAGAGAAAACGTAATCAAGAGATATTCAATCCAAGCTAAATTTATTATATGCAAAATGTATGTATGATAAGTATGAAGGTTCGTATACGGGCTCACTGAAATACCACACAGGGCAGACAGAGAACTAAACCATTGTTTACAGGTTCTTTCTCAAATACTCTGACAGAGAGTTCCCACCTCTTCTGTTGGCCAATCAGAGTAAAGGACTGAGTGTGGTTTAGACTTTACTCAGCCAATCCGTTGGCGCACGGGTTAGTCCCAACCCCTTGGCGCTCCACCCCTTGGCGCTCCACCGTTCCCAGGCATAAGTTGCTATCATAATAACCTGTAGAGTCAGCACCCAAAAGACACCCTTCCAATCTGTACTCTATGTACCTACGTTCAAGGACGGTTTCACAGACAACAAAGAGAGAGTGTTCGTATCTGTAAGAAATACAAGTCTTATCTGTCCTACCCCCTAACGTTCCTTACATGAATCACAGCCTGTTATGTGAAACAATTTATATCAGTATAGTACAAACCTATGCTTATCATTAATGCATTCCTTCTAAGTTATTCATCACATACAGATCCAATTATGAGAAAAATAGAACCCAACATTTCCTAATAAACATTTCACTACTTTAGCAATGTCATAGTATTTCCAGGCACTATAGTGTAATTTAGAGGAAACAGTAGTTAGTTGTCACCACATTAGGGCACCACTATGGCGCCGCCGGTAGAGGGCGGCTTGAAGAACGTTCATAACAATGGCATGACGCGACCGAGTGACAACCTATGAATAGACATTACATTTTACCATGCAAATATACATTTACATTTTAGTCATTTAGCAGACGCTCTTATCCAGAGCGACTTACAGTTAGTGAATACATTTTTATTTTTTTCATACTGGCCCCCAGTGGGAATCGAACACACAACCCTGGCGTTGCAAGCGCCATGCTCTTCCAACTGAGTTACACAGGACATCTCTGTTCAGTAGGTAGGTCTTCGAGGCTACGGGGTGCAGCGAGGAAATCTCAGTGTAATGGGTGGGAGTAAGGAGCCAAATATGTCATTATAAAACAGGTGTATGCAGCGACAGTGCGCAACGCTAGTAATAGATGAAAGGATATAAAACTATATAGCTATCTGTATCCATCTTTCCTTCTCTCTGAGTTACTCCTCTTCCCCTAGGTGTAAATGTAACACTTGGGAATAACATACCTTCTGGAACTACAGAAATAAACCTGTCTGGAGGTCTGATTCAAGTTGTCCGACAGCGAAGACGGCTCAAAACAAAAGTGACGTAGGTTAAGCACGTGGAGTAATGAGTAGGATTCTGTGTTCACAGTGATTGTTTTTGATAAAATGCTTGATTTGTATTCCCAATGAAAATTAGTTTGAAAATATGGACATATTTTCAGTGGTGTAAAGTACTTGAGTAAAAACACTTTAAAAGTACTACTTAAGTAGTTTTTTGGGGTATCTGTACATTACTATTTATATTTTTGGACAACTTTTACTTCACTACATTCCTAAAGAAAATAAATCGCTGACACCCAAAAGTACTCTTTACATTGAATGCTAATAAGCAGGACAGGAAAATGGTTCAATTCACGCACTTATCAAGAGAACATCCCTGGGCATCCCTACTGCCTCTGATCTGGCGGACTCACTGTGCGTGTTGTGTGCCCCGGCTATCCGTAAATTAAAAAATACAAGAAAATGGTGCTGTCTGGTTTGCTTAATATAAGCAATTTGTAATGATTTATACTTTTACTTTTGATACTTACGTATATTTAGTATCACAACATGACCGAGCGACGCAGATTACTGTTCGATTTGAGAAGGGCTTTTGCCCGTTCGCGTCACGGGCCATAGAATGGTGCACCCCGGTTCAGTTTAAACTAACCCTGCCAGTATTCCCTTGTGAAGTGCTGGAGGCAGCATTCCAACAAATAGGCGCTCGTGAGCAGATCCCTCCTCCAATGAAAACATCTGATAGTGGCGTGTAGCACGTCCAAACTTCTTTCCCACATGATCACAATCAAACATAATTTACATATACAATACATATACAATGCGTTATTTAAGCGATAAGGCCCGAGGAAGTGTGGTATATGGCCAATATACCATGGCTAAGTGCTGTTCTTAAGCACGACGCAATGTGGAGTGCCTGGACACAGTCGTTAGCCGTGGTATATTGGCCATATATCACAAACCCCTGAGGTGCCTTATTGCTATTATAAACTGGTTATCGACTTACTTAGAGCAGTAAAAATACATGTTTTGTCATAATCGTGGTATATGGTCTGATATACCACGGCTGTCAGCCAATCAGCATTCAGGGCTTGAACCACCCAATTTATAAAGGGAATTATACAACGGGTGGGTCTAATCCTGAATGCTGATTGGTTAAAACCGCATTCCAGACGGTGTCTATTCCACAAGTTACCACCGGCTAAATCTATGAAGTTAAAATGCCTATTTACTCTGTTCCATCTAACTGCTCAATCTACTGTCTCATCAGCCCAGCCAGGCAAATTATAAACTTGATCTCCACTATAAAAAGCATCTAGACATTATCTCACATTTCTTTTACACAAAAATGTAGTTTTCAACAGCAGAGATTTGTATAAACATTGCTGTCTCTCTCTCTCACATTGTTTCAATATTCAAATTCCATCTCCAGCTGTCCCGTAGTCAGTGGCGACCTGTCATTCAGGGCATTTGAGCCCCACCTGTTTAGCTGGATACTTTTTTTTACATATACACCGCTCAAAAAGATAAAGGGAACACTAAAATAACACATCCTAGATCTGAATGAATGAAATAATCTTATTAAATACTTTTTTCTTTACATAGTTGAATGTGCTGACAACAAAATCACACAAAAATTATCAATGGAAATCAAATTTATCAACCCATGGAGGTCTGGATTTGGAGTCACCCTCAAAATTAAAGTGGAAAACCACACTACAGGCTGATCCAACTTTGATGTAATGTCCTTAAAACAAGTCAAAATGAGGCTCAGTAGTGTGTGTGGCCTCCACGTGCCTGTATGACCTCCCTACAACGCCTGGGCATGCTCCTGATGAGGTGGCAGATGGTCTCCTGAGGGATCTCCTCCCAGACCTGGACTAAAGCATCCGCCAACTCCTGGACAGTCTGTGGTGCAACGTGGCGTTGGTGGATGGAGCGAGACATGATGTCCCAGATGTGCTCAATTGGATTCAGGTCTGGGGAACGGGCGGTCCATAGCATCAATGCCTTCCTCTTGCAGGAACTGCTGACACACTCCAGCCACATGAGGTCTAGCATTGTCTTGCATTAGGAGGAACCCAGGGCCAACCGCACCAGCATATGGTCTCACAAGGGGTCTGAGGATCTCATCTCGGTACCTAATGGCAGTCAGGCTACCTCTGGCGAGCACATGGAGGGCTGTGCGGCCCCCCAAAGAAATGTCACCCCACACCATGACTGACCCACCGCCAAACCGGTCATGCTGGAGGATGTTGCAGGCAGCAGAACGTTCTCCATGGCGTCTCCAGACTCTGTCACGTCTGTCACATGTGCTCAGTGTGAACCTGCTTTCATCTGTGAAGAGCACAGGGTGCCAGTGGCGAATTTGCCAATCTTGGTGTTCTCTGGCAAATGCCAAACGTCCTGCACGGTGTTGGGCTGTAAGCACAACCCCCACCTGTGGACGTCGGGCCCTCATACCACCCTCATGGAGTCTGTTTCTGACCGTTTGAGCAGACACATGCACATTTGTGGCCTGCTGGAGGTCATTTTGCAGGGCTCTGGCAGTGCTCCTCCTGCTCCTCCTTGCACAAAGGCAGAGGTAGCAGTCCTGCTGCTGGGTTGTTGCCCTCCTACGGCCTCCTCCACGTCTCCTGATGTACTGGCCTGTCTCCTGGTAGCGCCTCCATGCTCTGGACACTACGCTGACAGACACAGCAAACCTTCTTGCCACAGCTCGCATTGATGTGCCATCCTGGATGAGCTGCACTACCTGAGCCACTTGTGTGGGTTGTAGACTCCATCTCATGCTACCACTAGAGTGAAAGCACCGCCAGCATTCAAAAGTGACCAAAACATCAGCCAGGAAGCATAGGAACTG